CGTCGGGATCATCCTTGATACATTAAACAAATTATTTTAAATGCTTTGAAAAGAAAAACGTTGCCATTAAAGAGAATGATAACTCGATGAAATATGATGAATCGATTGTTGAAGTGCTTAGAGGAATCGTGAAGTGAGTTTGCATCCGTCAGTTTGTTTAAGTACTGGTTGATTATTTCGACCATGATCATTTCTTTTGATTGAAAAAAAAAGTAGACTATTCAGATTAGTGAGCATATTTTCTGACTAATAAAAAGTACTTAAAAAAAAACAACTTAAAGCAGAGACCATTGGACACATTTTGGTTTTAAGACGATAAAACTTGCGTAGTGTTTTCTATAAAGATAAATACAAGAATAAACTTAAAAATTTCTGTATGATAAACAACCTTCTTTAGGTTATTCATATCTTATGTAAGATTTTTAGTATATTATTATATTTAATAAAACTCTTTTATAATCTCACAGTCCATACTTACAATTTTAAAACATTAATACATTATTTAAAAATTATTATTTTTTAACGTTTCGGCTCTAACAGCCATTTTTGAAATTATTTTCCTTGTTTAAAAAAACAACAAAACAAAAAAATATTAGTCAACATTAAAATAATATTATTACTAAATTTTTTTTCTTTAAAATATATCGTATATAGAATACTACTCTATGGTAGTACTTGTTTTATTTCTTATAAAATGTTTTTTTTTTATTTTTTCTTTCAAAAATCCATAAATTTTTCTCTACTGTTTTCGCTTCATTAACATTGTTCCTTGATTTCTTTTCTCGCTATCATCCTCATTTTAACTTCACTGTTCTAAAAAAACTCTTTATATAAGTACACTTTTTTGTTAGATATAAAAAAAAAGATATCTGGTCACCTTAATTATATCTCATAACTATACGGATATTTTTTTTTCTGAAACAGGATCTGCGTAGAAGAAAAATCATTCTCGAGAGTAGACAAATTCAAATACCTCTGCTAAATAACTAGCGAGCTTAAACAGAGATTTCTTCTCCTTCTTAAAGGTATTGAAATCCCGAAAAATCTCAAACTGAGGGAGTACAATGCTACGATAAAGCCAGTTTTAATATATAACTCTGAGTCCTGGACACTAACCAGATCGCTGAGCATCATTGATGTCAAAATTTCCTAAATGAAATTTGGCAAACCAAAAATCGATAGATGCGTTCGGTTAAGGCATCATCCCCATAAACACTGCAAATTTTTCTATGAGCTTCTGCAGCACGCTTACATTTTTAAAATAATGCAACGAAATATGCCGATAATGAATGATATTTTCTTCCATATTCACAGTGCAATAGCAAACACAATGTTACCAGACCAGAGGATTATCTTCAGTTTGAGGCTCTGAATTTAAACAAATTAAGAGCCGTTAGTCGTCTCAGAGTAGCAAGTAAAGATTTTATGAAAATATACTTCAAAGATGCTACTTTGACTATTAAATCCAGTGAGGTATGGGGTGCATGCAACTGCCTTGTAACTGACCCGGTAACTCATTTTCTGATCCATGTATCAGTTCAACGAGCCGAGAAATAAGTACTTGAAGGCATTTATCACTGAATCCAGAGAAGATGCTAGTGTGGAGGAGATACTGAAAATAGACACTACGAAAAAAATAAACCAACTGTATTATTTCATACAGGGCTGTTCATTGAACTGTTAAGTGGTAAAGTTAATCATATAACATATATTAATTCTTATTTATATTGTCATTTGTCTTATACCGCTCGAATATTTAAAAAAAAATAAGAAAAAAAATGTTTTACTAATTGTTATGTATATATATATATCGTTTACTAATCTGTTATTATATTAGTCATACTTAATGCTGTGGACATTGTTAATGTTATGTTTGAATGCAGTATTAGACACAAGATCTAACATTGTTAATTATACCATTATATTTATTTGTACAGGAATTTCCTTAGACAAATAAAATAAACTATCTATCTATCTATATCAAACACAATTCTAAGCTAGTTTCAACAATAGTTAACAGTTGTAGATGTTGACATATTACAAACAGGATAAAAAAAAAACACCTTAGGGATTAATTAATCAGATAAGAACTGTATCATAGTGACATAAAAACCAAAAGGACTTATTTGACAACCCAATATTTGAGTTATTTATTCACAAAAAGTTGAATAAACACCATTGTTAATAATTATATTACAAATTGATTATTGAGGTATTTTTACTCCTGTAATCATGTTACACTAACCTCAACTCTGAATATTTCTTACGCGCCTGCGCCTATAATCAATACCATAGTTTATTTATTTACTTTTTAATAATATACATTATGGGTATACATTAAACAATTATTTAATTTTTTTTTTCTTTTTCAGGGAAAGTGTGGACTATTGTTGGTATTCTTGTTCTCCTTCGCTATCGCCGAGCCCCCTCGTGAGTATAACATATATATTTGTTCATTTATTTTATTTTACTTTATCACAAAAATGGTGATAATTCTCGTAATATCGATATAGAAGGTAATATATTTGAACACGTAGAGAGGTTTAGGTATATAGGTATATAGGTATAAGAACGCATACAGCGTGCAGACCCCTCTTACCTTAAAATGCCCTTGGGCAATAAAAGGAAATTGAAAATTTATGTATATATAACATTTATATATATATTGTATTTTGTAATCAAGAAATTTCTGGGGGGTAAGAAAAAAAAATAGGTATATAGGATCTTTCTTAATCCGTGGTATAAACCCCTTTTTATCTAATTGTTAACATCTACCTGAAACTTCGTAAATAGTTTCATCTCATCGTAACCTACAACTACTTTATTTACGAATACTCTTGGAATCGTTTTCAATCTGGAGGGGGGCAAACTTTGTCTATTTAATTAGGTACTTAAAACTCGTAAATACCCATTTGCTTTCTACTTGGATCATAAGATAATTTGATCACAAAATCAAGAAAAAATGCTGCCTTGAAAAATATTGAGCCGTTTGGCGTGACCTACACCCTCTAGTTTTTAAAATAACGAGGTTATATAGGGCAAACGGCCAAATATTTTTGTAGACCGCCTTTTTTATCGATTTGCTGATCAAATTATCTTATGATCAAAGTAGAAAGCAAAAGGTATTTACGAGTTTTTAGTACAAAATTAAATAGACAAAGTTGGCCTCCCTCCAGTTTGAAAACGTCCCAATTCCGAGAGTTTTCGTAAATAAAATAGTTGTAGGTTACGATGAGATGAAACTATTTACGAAGTTTCAGGCGGATGTTAATAATTCGATTAAAAGGGGTCTGTGCAACGGACTATCTACCATAACTAGAAAAAAACGAAATTGAAGAGGAGATTAAAGTTAGGCTAAAGGCGGGAAAGGCTTGTTATTTTTCTGCGACAAAATTAATTAGCTTACGCCTCCTGTCCCGGAAAAAATTAAGACTTAAAAATAAGAATCTATAAAATCATTATCCTACCTATGATTCCTTATGGAGGCGAAATGTGACCGCTTACTTCAAGAGATGAACGGCGTCTTAGGTTTTTGAAAAATAGTATTGCGCAGAATATTCGGACAAAAGAAAGGATGAGTTAACCGGTCAGACGGTTACACAACACCGAATTGCGTGAATTGTATCCGGTTAGTATAATTCAGGTGATACCATCGCGGAAAATAAAATGGACGTAAAAAAAAATTGTTGTTACTTTTCAAAAAATAAAATAAAACATTTTAATAATCTTGAAGTTCCTTTCCTTTGCCACTTGACTTTCTATATCCTCACCGTAACATGCAAACAGCCTTCTTTTCACGCTTCCTAACACTTCTACGGTCGAAGGGTTCGTTCTATGAAGATGCGTTCACACATCTGTGTCACCCCCGAAAATGCAACTCATGTACCGTTACACTTAATTTAAAAACCTGAACATCAACTTTTTTTTCTGAAACTTTTTTTTAATTCAAAACTCTTACGTGGTATAGTTAAATTTATGCTACAATAGTAATGTGCTAGATTCATCTTTTCTGTATTTATCATTGACTGATATTATATTTTATTCATTTTTATATCATACACAAGTATAGATGTTATAAAGTAAAAGTACAAAAATTTTCAAGGTAAACAATACAATATTATTATAACATTTTAAGTGAATTGTGACAAAAATTTGTATTATTAAATTTAGATAAATGTTAATAATTTCATAAAATGGGGTCTGTACCACGGAAGACATTGCAGTAGTTGAGGTTTAATTTTCACATTACATTTTAACCCGAAAAAATAATATTTAATAGCCCAAATGAAAAACGCTTCAAATTATTACACAATGGTTTATTATTTTCAAACGATTTAATATCAATTTTTTTTAAACTATTTATTTAAGATATTTACAACTATATTACGATATAAATATATCAAGTAAATGTGTACACAAGAATATAATCAATTGAAAACGCTTGTTGAGAAACTACCCACAGGTAGAACTCTAATAATATGTCTACATAAGGAGATCACGAGGCCATCTTCTTTTCTGTTATAGGACTTTTTTTTAATTATGGTCACGGGCGCATCGACGGGAGGAGGGGGAGAGATTCGGGCTGAAGTTTCTCCTCCCCCCAAAATGGTAAAATATAACCATGTTTTATCGAAAAAAAAATATTAAAACATTATCTCTTAAAGTATTATTGTTCATGTAAAAGGACTTTAACATTTAAAAGGACTTAAGGAATCACTTAAACACCATTTTATATAGATAGTTAGTTTCTTTCTTTTTTTCCAAAGTAATTATCGTCATTTTTATGAGAAAAAAAAAAGCTTTCGGGCTGAAGCCCTCCACCCCAAAAAAAATTAAATCCTGGATCCGCTGGTGATTATGGTTATGACATAATGAATGATTTATACATCATGTTGTGAAGTTCAGGGTCGCATGAATGTCTGACAATAAATAAGTAACGTGGGATAAACCTTGAGGTCTGCTTTCCGGTTCTCACTTTCCCTCGGATTAGTGGAAAGTCGATGCAACCGGAAACGGTCTGTCGCTTAAAAGATTTACCTGGCATTGCATTAGCCTGCCATGAGAATTACCTTGGAAGAGGATTCCTCAAGAGCTTTCACAAGAAGGCGAAATGTTCGAAACGAGAGAAGTCCCCGATCTCTCTGGGAACTATAGTACAAAATGTGGCTTTCTAGGTAATCGATAAGCGTTCGTAAAACGAGTTTAGATCGTTTTTAGTTCTTAGATGCACGGTATTTATCGGACATTGAAGGCCAGAAGGATACTGCAAGCAGAATCAAAGTTGTTGAGGGCGAAACTTTTTAATGTGTTTCAACAATGAAATATCGGATAGTTGGCTGTCCATGTAGAGCAAGGGACGGGGTGGTCGAGCGGGCTAACGAGTGTGCACAGCACCGTGTTGCCCGGCAACCTATAGAAAATAATTACGAGATAGTATTGCCGAGGGTCTTTTCATTCTGGAATTAATTTCTCGCCCTCACCCCTGGAAAACCATGTATAGCCTAAAAGGCGAGGATAAAAAAAAAACTACAGCCCGAAAGCCGCTCCCCGTAGATCCGCCCGTGCTACAGTCAACCATCAATCGAAAGTAAGGGATTGGAAAAGAAATAACTGGGTATCAATTTTATCAAATTCCATGCTCTACTTCCAAAAAATACTTTCTCTTAAGGTTTTTCTTTTAAACTTTTTTTTCTCACAAACTATAAATTCAGTGAGGATTATGTCATGACTCAGTAAGTTTTTAGTTATTCTAACCTATGGTTATGTCTTTGTATTATTCTATTTTAAAAATTAAGGCATTACTTACTTTTCCCTACTTCAAGATGGCGTCCAATTTCTAGATCAAGGCACTTAACTACTGGATTCACAAAAATACCTGAATATGTTTGAAAGAAGAAAGAACCCACTGATCTTAATTTTTTTATTATAAATTACTCAACATTTTAAGAGAGCATTGTCTACTCAATCAGTCGATAATAATTGTTTTGTTAAAATATTGTAATCCGTACATATATTATTACAGTAAGGCTGGAAATCGGTTTTGTACCAAATATAAGCTCCTGTCATGCTCAAATACCATGAATGGGGTACCGTTGGATTCAGAATTTCATGGGGGTTTAGCGAATCGTATTCTCCACTTCTGTTTTTCTTACTAAAATAAATAAAGTCGATACAAACATTTTGTGAAGCTTCAATACCTGAACAGTGGTAGGTCTGTAGATCGATACGGGACAAATTGGATCTTGAAGATTTTGATGCGTACAGCAAGACCCGGATAGTTCCTTTAGAACTATCGGATCCTGCGTTTTTAAGCCCAAAAACGTACTATTTTCGAGATAACGCAAGGCATAGGTTTCAAATCCACACAGCCTTACATTAATTGTAGTACTGTCATTGAATACATGTCTCATTTCGTCGACTTGAGGTCTCAATGACCGAGAGAGGAGTTTATATTATTTATCGATGGTGTTTTTGATCGGCAAGCCTTCATCGTTAATTTTTCACCAAATCTCAAGATTGAGCCACCGATTTCGAAGACTTCCTTCTCCTTCAGGCGGGTAAAATAGCCCAATCACCCCGAAAATTCAGGCAAACAAGTTGAAAGAAAACAAACTTTATTTGCGAATAATTAAAAAATTACACACTGTTCCCTTGGTTACGCCCATGATCATATAAAAGACTACTAAATCCCATACAAAAAGAAAAAAAATCATCGAAAATGGACCAAATAAAAATGAAGATTTAAATTAATTTTTGTTTTCTTTGTCGATTATATTTATCGATAAAGTAAATTCGTATGATTTCGATCTGATAATCTGATCACTAACTACGCATAACAATAATTAGAACGTTATGATCCTAATATTTACGTTTTCATGAAAATAATTTAAACAATCAGTAGATTTCTTTACTTTAAACTTAAATTTTAGGACTAGATTTTACATTTAGTTTATCATTTATAAATACGGATCGATTCCTATAATTGAGATCTGGCCGAAAAACCAATTCATAACCACTTTACATGAATATATATATATATATATATATATATATATATATATATATATATATATATATATATATAATAAATAAAAGGGGAATTTAGGCAATTATGTTTATTGCAATGCATCCAAGATCGTGGAAAAAAAAAAACAAGGTATAAAAGCTTTGCTACAATTCATTGTAGTCATTTTTGCTGAAAGTACTTTTAGGTAACCCGATAGAAAATCATATAATTTTTTTACTCAACTTGGATTGAATCCACTGGCGGATCTACGGGGGGGAGAGATTTGGGGCTGAAGTCCCCTCCCCCCCCCCCAAAAAAAATGGTAAAATATAACCATGTTATATGGAAAAAAAATATTTAAAAATTATCTCTTAAAGTGTTACTGTTCGTGTAATTACATTTAAAAGGACTTTAGGGATCACTTAAACACCATTTCATATAAGTAGTTAGTTTCTTTCTTTTTTTTTCAAATTAATTATCGTTATTTTAATTTTTAAAAAAGCTTTCGGGCTGAAGCTCCCTCCGTCAAAATTAAATCCTGAATCCGCTAGTGAGTGAACCTCGAGTTTTTTTCAAATAAACCTCAACTTAATTAATATGCACTTAAAGCTTATAAAACGAGCATTTCTAAAAATGGGATTCTGTAGTATAGTTGGATGGTGATAAAAAAAAAAAATCGGAAATAATTTGATTTTTTTTTTAAAACAGAACTTAACTTAGTTTAGCCTCCCAAAACTCTATAAATGGTTTTAGCAATGACAAAGTATTTATTCATTTTAACACAATTTTGTCTATTTGTGAATAAATACTTGAATAAATAAATTGAATATTTCTTTAGTTATCGCTTCCTATTAAAAAAAGAAACACGTTACTTAAAAAAACCCAAACCTTCAATTTACTACTTGTCTGCTGAAAATTAGCGTATTGTTTATATGAACATTTTTGTAGCTTTTGATGTCTGCTATCATTCCTTTTAAAATTTCACTCTACTTATAAGACACCCTGTATACAAAATAATACGTAATATTATATGCAACTATTTTTGTTGTTGTCTGTTTTGCTTAAACTATTAAAAAATATATATTAAACTGTTATTATTAGGCTTCTATTGATTTTTTTCGGGATTTCAATATCTTTGAAAGGGAGAATAAAGCTCTGTTTGCGCTAGTTATACGCTGGTCTATTTCTGCCTGTTGGTCATTCATTGAGGTTATTGTGGAGCCAAAATATTTTAATTTTTCTACTATCGGGAATTAATTAATCCTATATATTATTTCTAAAAGGTGTTTTTTTATTGGTACGCTATAACTTCATAAATTCTTCATCAAATCCAATTAGTGACAACTCATTTTGAAGATATTCTGCTCCTTCTCAGCTGAAAAATAGTCTTATCCCCCCGAAATTACTGGAAAAAAAGAAACTTTATTTGCGAATAACTTAAAAAGTATGCATTTTTCTCTGGGATTGTACCCATGAAAATTAGAAAGAATACTAAATTACCTACAAAACAAAAAAATAATCGTAAAATTCGGACAATTATTAACAAAGATACAGTCCATTAGTTTTGATATACTCAATAATGTCTTCCTGTTTAAAGATATTGCATTTAGGAGTAGAATAGTCTACTACACTTTTTTTCCTGGCTTTTATATTAAATTTATTATTTCTTAAAGACGTTTGGTTGTTCTTACATTTTATTTTTTTTAATAATTTAGAATATCCAATGATCGGGGCATTATTTTGTCTTTATTACTTTTATTATCTTTCGTTTAAAAATAGGTCCTAGCAAAACAATTTGTACAAATATTATGGTCTATTATGTTAAATGGAATATTGTAATCGACTAAGGAAAAAATATTAATTCCTTCCTTACATAATACACAGGAACTACTTATTTCCATATTGTTTTACTATTTCTTCACTAAACAAAATTATCTGCGAATTTTTCGTACTAGTATATGATATTAAGATTTATAATAATATAATTCCCTATATATTAATTGATATTAAAGTCTTAATATTGAGATATCAATAACTCTAGCTACTAGTTAATAATTGACTGTTAATGTTCCAGCTTATAGCTCATCCAATGACGAATTCGATCTGAACAGCATCAGTAGCTACTTGGACGACGACGCGTCGGCGGGCACGTCCGGAGGCAGCAAGCAGTACAGCAGCTTCGACCTGGGCAAGGGCGCCCCCAGCAGCAGCTACAAGGGCCTCAGCGGCTTCTCCCCCTCCTCCAGCGGCCCCAAGCCCTCAGGAGCTAGCAGCTACAGCGTCGGCTCCAGCTACCACGGCTCCTCCGACTCCAACTTCGGCACAGGCGGCAGCTTCTCCTCAGGATACAAGGGCAGCCAGGGCGGCTTCAACAGCGACGGCGACCAGGGCAGCTACAGCAGCTTCGGCGGCCACAGCGGGGGCTCCCCCCACGAGAGCAGCTACACCACCACCGGCGGCGCACATGGCGGCTCCGCCGGCGCCCAGGCTTACAGCACCCCCGTCAGCTCCAGCCAGTCCTACAGCACTGGAGGCTCCTACAGCTCTTACAGCAGTTCTCCATCTGCTTCCTTCAGTGGATCTCCATCCGGCTCTTACAGCAGTCCCCCATCCAGCTCCTATTCAGACTTTGGTAAAACCTCCAGTTTTCAGAACTACGGGAGCTCCGGCCCTAGCCATGGTAGTTTCTCTTCTGCTCCTGTCAGCCATGGAAGTTATAGCGGCCAGAGAGACAGTGGAACACCCGGAGGTCACGTGAGCTTCAGAGGCAGCAGCCCAAGCCTCCAGACCTACAGCGGACCCAGCTCCGACCACTACAGGGGACCTCCTGCATCTTTCGGCGGTCCTTCTAGCTCCTTCGGCGGTCCTTCTAGCTCCTTCGGCGGACCTTCTAGTTCCTTCGGCGGTCCTTCAAGCTCGTTTGGAGGTCACAGAGGTAGCTTCAGCAGCGGCCCATCCTACTCGAGCGGTGGTAGCCCAGGACCATACTCTGGAAGCGACGGCCCAGGCCCAGCCCACTACCCTGGAAGCGGTGGCCCAGGACACTACTCCAGCGGAGGGCCCAGCTATTCCAGCGGTGGACCCCCAGGCAGCTACAGCTTTTCCCCATCCTCAGGACACCCTAACCAACCCTCGTACTCTGACAAAGGTCACAGTGGCCCACCCAGCTTCAGCAGCTACAAGGGAGGTCCCAGCTATAAGCCTTATCCTGGATACAAGTCTGAGGGCGGACACAGGTACCGACGGTACCCCAGCAAGTACTACAGTTCCGGGTACAGGCCTTCTGGTAGGCGGCCATCTTACAGTAAGCCTTCTTCCTCATCATCGAGTGGATCTGGATTTCTAGGTAAATATGATTAACTTTTAGGATTCTAGCTATCTTGAAATGTAGAACCTCAAATTTGGAGGGGGGTTAACTTTTTTTTTTCTTGATTGATTACGAAGGTTGATTATTGAAAACAATAAACCAAAATATAACAAATTTCATATTCAGTCGACTCCTTCTATCAATGTACCCTTGGATATAATGTAACCTTTTATGATTCTTGTTTACCCTCGGAGTGAAATAGAATCTAGAGACCTGAATTGTCTGAAAACAATAGTTTAAAACAAAACATTGTACATAAAATTCTAACTATTAATATAATGATGTTTTATTTTATTTCAGGTCTTTTCTAAAACATCTCTCATTCCTTGGAACATCAAGGCTGTGACGTTTCGACAATCTCTCTTCCAAGAACAAATTAATTTGGAAAATAAGTGATTTTTTCCACTAGATACCAAATTATAAAATTATTTTTAAGGCTAATTATTTATTATTTTTATATTTTTGTATGTTATAAAAATATTGTGCTTTAAAAAAACTTTGTTCTCATGCTATAATTGTTGATTATATTAAAGATATAAGCCTTACAAGTGAACAATTTTTGTTGTTAATTTTACATGTGATAAGTATTATAGGAAAAGATTAAAATAAAAACAAATAAGTAAAATTGCTTTATATAATATATTCTGTCAGAATTTAGTCAAATTTATAGCATTGGAATGTAAAATGCTGAAATTCTGTTATATATACAATTTACATTAAATAAATATAAATTTCAGTTATACATTGTTATTTATTTACATTGCTTCTCTTCTATAACTTATTTACTACACCTGCGGTTATGCCAGACAGACTGTGGAATATTCAAGGTGAGGGTTGGAGGTGTGAGGCTATCGCTGTCGGCAGAGGCCGTATGGCACTGGTGAGCGCTGCTCGGCTTCGCTGGGCTCTGTCCGAGAGGAGTAGAATGTGAGTACTGGCCCCTGCCGCCAGACCTGGAGCTCGACTGGCTGCCGCTCGTCCTGCGCTGGGACTGCCGCGTCTTACGCACCGTCGGCAATGCCCACGCTATTCCCAGGCTCCTAAACACTTCCTCGAAGTTGTCCGAGGAGGAACCCAACCACGAGCTCATATCCCTGTCGTCGAGAAGGCAAAGGCTGGAACCAGTCGAGTCCCTGCTACCGTGCTGCCTGGGGCTGCCTCTTATAGAACTAATATCGGGGTCGAACCCACAAGGTTGAGGTGTTTCAGGCCGCTGCGACTCACCACACTCCTGAATTGTCGACAATTCGTGAGGAGCTACTTCTGCTGATCCCAGTCCTGCGAACTTCCTACAAACAAATAAGATAAACATTACTAATTATTCGTTTGCAGGCATTAAAAACTTATATAACTTCATAATTTTTTTTTGTTTTGTCTTAAAGTCTTAATAAGGTGGGGTGTCTCTTTGAAGATATATAAACTTAATTATTTAATTGGAATTTATGAGAAGGAGTTAATTGGGGGCTGCGGTCAAATAAATACTAAATTAAAATATAGTAATTATTTAATTTTTTGCCGACGTTTCAACCCACTTTGCAGGTCGTCTTCAGGGCTACAAAAGATACAAAACATGTTGAAAATAAAAAGATGATATCAGAGATATAGTGGGTGACAATATAGTTAGAATATTAAGTATTATATATGTAGGAGATACAAACAAATTGAAAATAAGTATGAATAAAAATAAAAATAAAGGAGGATATAGCATGTAAGTTAAAAGTAAACAGATTGCGATAAAAGATAAGGAATAAGTGTATAAGAAACTAATAAAGATTACATTAGATAACTGTGGGTTAACAGATAAAGAAAATGAATGTTAACGAATAAATAGATTGAAAATTGTATAAGTATTGTTACAGTAAAGTTAAAATAAGAATAAGATAAAATAATAATAAGATATCAGTGGATAACAAGCTAGTGGAGGTTACATTTGATTGTAGGTAAAACAGATAACGGGACTAAAGGTTAAGAAGTAAAGAAATTGAAAGATTAATAGGGTAACATTAGTGTAATATCGTTAGGATAGATTATTAAGTATAAATAACTCTATAAGAAAACAATAATTTTAAAAGAGAACTTTAGAATGTAAGTATAAATGTAAAACAAGGTTATGATGATAAAAAAACAAAAACAAGTTGTATTATATCAACGGTCAACCATCTCTACATCATAATTGGAATTTAATTTAATACAGCTTCATATAAAAGAGTGAAATCCCCAGTTGTCGGCACCCACTCCAGTTATTGAAGAATATCAAGTGCTGGAAATCGGAGCTGGCGAAAGGCATCGAATTGAAGTGGAAATCCCTCCTGTGCTCTCACTATTTATTTAGTTTAATATGAAGATTAGAAATTCAACAGTTGTTGTCCAGGAAGGACGTGTCTTACATTTTTTTGGAAGGAAACACGAATTCCTATACAATATCATAGTTGTTCTTTCATTCTGAAGGCTGCCATATTTAATTCTTTAATTTTTGATAATTGGGTAAGAGGTGCTGAAAACTGGCATATGCATTTATAAAAAAAAAAAAAAAAAATATTGAAAGACATTATATCACACATATATTTTGAAATTATAGATCTTCTATGATTTAATAGAACTAAGTACCCATGTGATTGAAATTGAAGTGCCTGAATTGAAATTGAAGCCGACAACTGGTGGTTTTAACCTATTTTACAGTTATCACTGCCAACTTGGAAGGAATCATTCTTTATATCTCCTCAATGTTACATAACTGTTTCTAAATGTTAATGTTCCTTTAACTTTTCCTCAATATTAACTAAGGTAATAATTTATTACTTAACATCTAAAATAAAGTTAAAAATAAAATTCAGCATCTTCAAAGATACTATACAAGACATTGAATAGAACAATTTTTTTTTTTTTTTTGAACCATCAAGATTTTAAACAAAACATTATATTTGAGAGAGAAGACTCCCAAGTGAAAATTACTTTAAAAAATTTAGATAATAGTTGAGAGGGCAAAATTTTTATTGCAAGAGCAGCAAAATTAATTATGCCACAATAACACATTAATAATTTTTCACAAGTTGGGTGAATAATCCGGTACTTATCTAGTAGCGGGTAGCGTCAAAACCTCCCTTCTTATCTAATCTCATTTCATATAACCTCCCTTATCTCATCTAACCTAAGTTATTCTGTTGTTTAGTTTCTGTTACTTGTGCCAGGTGTGAGTTTATTTAATTACGGATCTTGTCACATTGTGGGAATTGGCGTCTTCAGAAGAAGAGGCTATCAAATATATTCAAGACGCCAGTATATTTGATAAGGTGAAATATTGTGATGAGGGTCATAAAATGAAGTTCGACGGGAAGATTAAATGGAGATGCTTTCGTAGGTGTAACAAAACCGTTTCTATAAGGAAAGGAACGTGGTTAGAGGGGTCGAGGATTTCTTTTTTAACGGCTTTAAAATTCATTTAACTACAATGACCCCATAATTTAACTTCAATACAGTGGGGAAAAGAGCAGCTCAAAATATCCATCGGAACTGTCGTAGCATGGAACAAATTTTTAAGATAAGTTTGTGCCCATGACATGTTATACAGGTCGAATAAAAAGGAGGGCGGGGTGGCTGAATGGGCTAACGCATGTGCACTGCACCGCTGTTGCCCGGCAACCGGATATATGATTCTATGATATGGAAATAGTCACGAGTTCGCGCCCGGTCCCAGAGGGGATTTTAAATTCCCAGCCCTCACCCTCTGGTCTGAGAAAATCCTGTATAGCCTAAAAGGCAAGGTAGGGAAGAACAGGAAAAAAAAAATGTCGAATAAAAAAATTGGGGGCCTGGCAAAGTCGTCGAAGTAGACGAGAGTCTTTTTAAGAAAAGAAAAAATCATGTGGAGAGAGTCCTACCTGAGCAATGGATGTTTGGCGGAGTTTGCCGAGAAACAGACCTATTTTTATTATTTCATTTATTTATATATATATGTTGCAATGTTTTCGTAATGTTTTTTAATTATATATTTATGATTTTTGGTCTATTTTAATATATACATTGTAAAATAAAAGCATTTTGTTATTATTACATTTGTTTCTGTTTTTGTTCACAATTTCAATAATATGAATATAATACAATAAATATGAATACGAAGAGCTTATCAGTGTTAAGGTTATAAACATTGGCAGATAGCAGTCGGACGCTACCCGCTATTAGATAAGTGAATTTGTGAAATTGGTGCTCAAATTAGAAATGCTGAGATACTGTGCAAACAAACATACATTACAATATAAAGAAATATAATTACTAGAGATTTTAGTTAATAGAAAGATAAAACTGACCTGGAATTAGAGCTGTGCGAAGATGAAGGATGAAGATGTGTAGCAGTACTGGGGTGAGGATAAATATGAGCCGGAGGAAGATCGTAACACGGTGACACCCTCTGAGCCACTCCGCCACTCTCATCAGCAGGTGTTGTCGGATAGACGCCAGCCTTCACTGACTGGCTTAACCTCACCGAATGATGCACCTCCGGGGGAGGACTCAAGTAGGAGCTGTCTTCTGTGTCGTCTCCAGTCCGGCAATCTGGGAGGATGCGAATACGCTCCATCATCTTGGCCAAATCTTGCACGCGATGGGCGTAACCCTCGGCCATTTCAGAAAATTTCAAGGCTTCCTTAGTTGTCGAATCGTCTGATACATTAGCGTGCGCCTGGGGAGAAACGTGACACTTGCAAACTTTAGGACATTCCCCAATCGAACTCGGCCTTCTCCTGGTGGATCTGTCAAAAATACTGCTACTGATGGAAATGTCACTAACAGAGGAAGTAGGCAACTCGTCAATGCTCTTCCTGCTCATCTCAAGAACTCTTTTGATATATTGGTGTAGCCTTGGATTTTTATTCTTGGCGTCTATCTTGCCAAGAATCGCCCTCAACAATGCTTGATGTGCAGGACTCAGCTTGTTGGGCGGACTCATATAAGACGTAGAACCAGATGACGTCGCTTCTCTACTGCTGAATTGGTTGTTCCATGTCATATTCCGGCTTACAGGACTTTCTTCACAGTATTCTAAGCTGGTTTGTATATCTTTGTCTGTAGTTTTGGGAGATCGTTCCGTAGACAATCGGTCTTTCTTCTTTCCTAATTTTTCACTCACTTTAACGGTCACTTTGATTCCTTCAAATGTCAATGAAGATTCCACTGCATCCGAATTAGAAGAGGATTTCGAAGAAACCATTTCGCATTCCAATTCTGCACCATCACTTAACCGTGGAGAATTCGGTGCCATTGAAACATCTTGAGGAGTTTTTACCTGTTCTCTACTTGGTGGTGCTTCGATCACGGGGTGTACAACATCCTTTTCATCAGAAACAAGAGGCAAATTTTCATTTTTAGGATCTTTTGTGAATTCTTTATCAACATTAGTGGGATGCCGAGCTTGAGGACTAACTGAATTCCTTGGCTGGGCGATCCCTTTCTGTTCTTGGATGTTGTTATCATTGCGTGGGCAGCGAGTGCACTCGGAGCTACATGAGCAGACTTCGCAAACTGTTTGACATTTGACCGGGCTCACCGCTCTGTCTTGTTTCACAGGTACCACTCTAATGCCGGAAGGCCCTGCTTCTTCCTGACATCTGATCCATTGAGGAATATCTTCTTCCTCGACGTTAATCGCACCAAATTTCGCTTCCAATTCTTGCTGTTGCCTGGCCCTTTCTGCTTTTAGCTTACTAACAAGTTCTCGAAAAAACTCTTCATTATCAGTACTTGAGTCCTGATATATTTTTTTAGGAGATTCAGGAGGATCACCATCTACAAAGAAATATTTATCATTAATTATTATTTGAACGTGCAATTTTTTTTATTATAAATTCAGGGTGTTTACTCCTGGATCCTTTATCTGGATAATTGAAAAAGTATATAAATGATTTTTATTAATAATCATTTTATATAATTACATATAATATTTAACATTTAAATAAAGCTATCGACATAATCCGAATATAAAAAAAAATTGTAATTTTTTTACGATGTATATGTTTGTAATAACGTTAATCTTATAAAATATCATTGATATACTACATTGAACTATCGCTATTACATAATATATACTTTTAAAAAAAATATTCTAATCCTAAAAATACAAGATTAAAATGCACACATATCAATCAATATAATTTTATGAATATAAATAAAAATAAATAACTAGACTGTATAAATATTAAAATTGATTAAATAAATAAATGATAATAAATATCATCAATTAACTCTCAATTATAATATAAGTGATAGTGGGGATGATCCACAGAGGGTCCAGAATAATGCAAACTAATAAAATTATTGTTTTATCTTGAAAAATCTAACCTAAAATTGTAGCTGGTACCCTATTCTTGTTACTATTTCCCGTGAAAATTCCTTTATTTCACGTAACTTCATAATTTTATTATTTTTTTGACAAGGACAGTTTTTGATAAAGGTAATAATTACAGCTTTTATCCTGACGTTAGTTAAAACTGAACTGAGAAACATTGTTTTTTATCTACTAGTGTTCGCCCAGTGATCGAAATTCAACCATAGGCATTAAAAATTTGAGGAAAAGATATGATTAAATAAAAAATAAATTAAATAAATAAAGAGTAAATCACGATTCAAAAATCCTCATTTATTAATAATAATAATAATAATAAGGCTTAGCGAACCCGAAGGTTTGATGCCGACACCACCAATCGCTTGTTACACACCTCCCTCCACTGTTCGCCGTCCAAACCCAGTCCCTTCAGATCGGCTTTAATGCAATCTTCCCACCTTCGCTTCGGTCTACCCCTCGGACGCTTACCATTCGGCACAGCAAATATTAACCTTTTAGGAATTCTCTCGTTACTAAGCCCAACAACTTTACAAGCCCATTTGATTCGCCGCGATGAAATTACATCAATTATATTACCCGGATACAGCTCACGCAATTCGGCGTTGTGTAACCGTCTGAACTCTCCGGTTAACTCATCCTTCTTCGGTCCGAATATTCTACGCAATACTTTATTTTCAAAAACCTTAAGACGTTGCTCATCCCTTAATGTAAGCGGCCAAGTTTCGCACCTCATTTATTAATACAAACAAAATTTCAATTTTAATTAAAAACCGAGCTTAAGTCATTTATAAGTAATACAAAATAGACTCATTCAAAAATATTTAATTTTCATTTTAATTTATGTGTATTATGATCACAATAAGTAAATGTTATAACTAAGCAAGTGAAAAATAAATTTAAATTAGCAATTTCAATTCACTTTTTTTGCAAAAGAAAAAGTACTATGTGTTTAAAATGATATATCTCAGCAAAAAATAGTCCAATTTCGATGATTTTTTTTTATTTTGTAGGAATTCAGGAAGCTTTCAAATAAATATTTGTATTATTAATAAAAAAATTTGTACTTTTTGAGTTATTCCCAAATAAAATACTTAATTCATCATAAAAATATATGCAGCTTGTTTTTGAGAAAGAATGTTATATACATAGATTATAAAGGTTCCAAGGGGAAGACTTTAGCCAAGTTTCATTGAAATCATTAAAGCCGTATTGGCACTACAGTCTAAAGCGGATCATGTTTTTTCGGCCGCCATCTCGAAAGGAAATGCCCGATAATAATGAAACGTATACAAATAAACTTCTAAATATTATTGCAACGTTGTGTCAAAATTTAAAAGAAATCGGTGAAGAACTTTCGGAGATGAGCCGTTTTGAACAAACTACCATTTATATTTTTGTTTACATACTATTTAATATTTTTATTTATTGATAACACTAAAGTTCGTCAATATCTATCAAACAAAAAAAGAAAGAAGCAAATAGGTTGAATAATAGAGGAGTAAAAGGGGCTGAACCGATTTGTGTTTGCCTATTTATATAATGATTTTATTTTATTTTTATGAGAAACAAAGTTTACTTATAACCTTAATAAATAAAGATAAACAAAAACATTCAATGGAATCAGCGTAATTAACATAAGAATTAAAACTAATAGGTGATGGAATTTCTATGATCGCAACTGTATATATTCCTTTTTCTGCTCTGAGCGATAAATTTTGATGTATGATGTATCAAATGAAAAAGAATTTCATGGAAAAGTGACAAATCTAAATATCAAAATGTAAAACCTTAATACATCTACGATAAAAGTCATTGAAAAAACTGGGAGTTTTCAACACCCAGATGGTTTCAAAAGTCGAAAGATCAAGACGGAATAAATTTTGTTTTTAAGCTTTTGATGGGAACTAATTCTTTATTAAGATTTAGTATAGTTTCTATAAGCTAGTTACATAAGCTAGATAAAGCAAACATACTATAAAACTTAAATATTTCAAACAACTTACTTTTTTTAATTATTTTTCCCCCCTAAGTTTGATTTTTGACCAATAGTGCAGTGAAGAAAAATAATATCGGAATAGAGTTAAACCTTCACCGCAAATTTATAACTAGTAATCAAGTTACCTTTTGTTAACGGGGAAGTTTCTGGATCTAGTCGCGTTAATTTGACTCCTCCAGTTGGTAGTTCACAGCTCTTGATCTTAATTCCATTTCGATTCGTGCTCGTCGGCATTGGTGGTTTTATAGCAACACCTTTATTAAAACAAAGAAATTTAGATTAGATAAAGCACAAATACAAACAGTCCGTGGTACAGACCTCTTTTTATCAAGTTATTTGTCTGAAACTTCATGAATAGCTTCATCTCATCGTAATCTACAACTATTTTCTTTATGAAAACTCTTGAAATCGGGGCATTTTCAATATTGAGATGGAAAACATTGTCTATTTAATTAGATGCTAAAACCCCGTAAATACCCATTAACTTTCCACTTGGGCCGTAAGATAATTTGATCACAAAATCAAGAAAAAAAGAGGCCTACAAAAATATTGGGCCATTTGGTCTTTATAACTTCGTTATTTTGACACTTTGGGGGTGTAGGTCATGCCAAACGGTTAAATATTTTTGAAGGGTACCTTTTTTCTCGATTTTGTGCTCAAATTATCTTACCATTGAAGTGGAAAACAGATGAGTATTTAGTATCTAATTAAATAGACAAAGTTAAAAACTCCCCAATTTCGAGAATTTTCATAAATAAAATAGTTGCAGGTTACGATGAGATAAAGTTATTTACAAAGTTTCAAGCAGATGTAAATAATTCAATAAAAATAGGTTTCTACCATGGACTAAAAATCAATCTTATATATATATATATATATATATATATATATATATATATATATTTTTTTTTTTTTTTCTAACCAAAGTACAATTTTGAGATTAAAGATAATTTTTTTTTCAATGTCACTCTCTATAGCACAATGGAGTCTTGATAATCAGAATTTTGGTAGTCCTCAATCAAGTTCACTAGATCCAAAACAAAAAAATCTGGAGTGTCCACTCACAGGACTTTCCTACCTATTTCAGATAAGTTTTTATATCTTTACATATGTCCATCAAGAAACAAAAACATTGGATTAGATTTATTTTCCTGAAAATTGATCGAAGAAAAGATTTGAGTAGGATTTATTTGATAAACTAAAGCAATGTAAACCGGCTTAAGGTAGATCAGTATAAAAATTTCCATATTGCTAATATTGCTGATCAAAAACTTTTTGCCATATTTGTTCAAACAATAATTTCTGTTAAAAGTAAAGAAAATACTGAACCTTGTGTGATATGGGCAACAGATTTTCCCATATGAATGTTTATTCATCAAAGTAAAAAAGAAGGGTACTTGTATGGAAAAAAAAAACAGATAAATTTGAGCTAGAATAAAACTACAGTGATAATGAACATACATAAGATCGATATTGTACTTTTTAAACAATGAAAAAAGGTTCTTATTTAGCTAAAACTTAAAATAATAGTATTATTGAAGGAAGTTAGTCGACTGTACTACATATCACAGGAGATAAACAATCAGATAGCAGTAATTTTTTAGATTTTTTATTCAACCCAAGCTGTTCAAGTATTGGATTTCAGTACTACAAACATGCCCTGATGATGACCCACATGTTCGGGTTGAAACGTTGGCAACAATAAAAAATCTCAAAAATTACTGCTTCCTGATTATTAATCTCCTGTTAAAATAATAGTACGGCTGGAAGATAGATGGGGACTGCGGCTGTATGGCTGCCTAACGTGGTATTCTCTAAAACTTCTCTCAGCTTTACTTTATAAACATGCATTTATAATAGTTAATAAAAATTTTAAACAGAGATGACAAGGATGATATAAGGAAACAATGCCATTTAATGTAATAATCTACAGAATATTTCTTTTTTTAAAGCTTAGAATTATTTATTTTTTCAATTACTCCACACCTTATATTTTGGATAATTGGGACTTAATTAAATTTTACAAAAAACTGATAAACATCAATGATAAAAACTACAACAGAGGAGTAACATATTATGTTTCCTTACAGGGAACTACTATTTTTACAACTTAAAAATAAAATATAAATATAAAAATAAATGTTAATAAAAGTCATAAATAAAAACTCACCTTGAGGAAGGAGGATGCTCTTATGCAATTCTGCCTGGTTTTTTATTTCCATTTCTTTCCTTCGACAATCCCTCATATGCAAATCACTCTGCAATCAAACAATTAACCTCTGTTAAAATAATTTTACAAATATTATATTATGAGTGTATTAAGGCCAGAATTATAGTTTAATGTTTATATTTAAGAAAAAAAAAAGTAATGTTAACCAAGAGGATATGATGGATAGAAATAACAATGTTTTCAAGTTAACGGATTTGTTGCGATATTTATTGCTGCATTGTTTGTGGACGAGCGTCATTTGTTAGAAAAAAGAAGAGCCGGCATAAATATATACATTCTCGTCGAGGCATCACATCACATAGTCTATTGATAATTGTTAAAGGACATTTGATTGTGATATCTTCTAATTGAAGGCCTACCGCATAGAGCCAACCTCACCGGGTCCGACCTATGAAAATATATGAGAGAAAACATTGGCCAGGCGACCTCCAACCTTCTGATTAGCTGGAAGCCACGAAAACAAAGGTTGTACTTTTTCATTTATTCATTTAGAGACTGGGTTAAAATTTATCCCTATTAAAATAATAATTAAAATACTATTTGCTCAGATCTGCTTAAAACTATAAATCCATGCAAAAAATGGTATTTTGTTCCTGTTATAAAACGGCAATTCTAATATGACCAACATTATATGTTATAAAGTCATAATGATTGATAATAAATTATTTGATAAAAAACAAACAAGCTATAGAACTTAATAGTCTCTGTCTCAAACATTATTAATTTTTAATTTTTGCCAATTCAGGCATTTTCAGGAAATGTTTGCATAAGTTAATATTTTGTGACATCGTACATTATCTGAATAGCAATGCACAGGGTTACATATCTAGTTCCAGATACATAGCTATTTACATATTATTGTATAATAAAAATATTGTTTAATATAGAATAATGTCAACTTATGTAAAGATGACGTAATTCGTAAAACTTCAGTTTTATTAAAAATAAATAAAACTTGCAGACAGAGACAACTGATGTTTATACCTTATATATATTTCTTATATAGCCTCTATCCTGATACCATCATTGATGGATATATTTCATGAAAAAAATAAACTCTATATTGAGGATAAGATGACGTTAAACTTATCAACTCTTACAGGGTAAGTTCCGCTGACAGCCATCTGGATTTTTTCCTTCCTGTGTATTTCTCTCAACTCCTTTAAGAACTTTTCAGCTTCGCGTCTCCCACGTTCCTGCTTGAGGGCCTTATTTCCACGAATCATTTTTTCTCTTCGCGCCAATATATCTAGATTTTCTTTTCTCACCACGGCTTCCTCTTCTTCGGCGATAGCTTCACACATATCCTAAGAAATTGGAATCGATTTAAACAAAATAGTTAAAGTTACTAAAAAATTATTGCTAATCGTGTGATATTAAATCATATATTAAAAAATAATTATCAGAATATGTGAACCTGAAGTTTCATCAATAACAAACCATTCAGGTTTCTGTATATTTCTATAAAAAAAAAAACAATACTACAAAATTAGACTAAATTATATCTAAAAATCAACATTTTGGTCTTCCCAATATTATATTTCTGATAGTTAGTTTAATAACAAGTCTAGATACCAATTTAAACAGATATATATTGTTTTTCTTTCCTGTTTTTTTTTAAATTGAGCGAATGGGTACTGCATAAAAAATGTATTAAAATATATTTTAGAACCTAAATTGATAATAACCATTGATCAAACGCTTTCTTGAAAAATCATATATCCAATATTTCCGCCGTACCATTTCTATCCTAAATCGTCTAAATTACTCCCATCACCTATTTCCTTTTGAAACCAGTAGGCTCCTAGTCACTTCCTTAATTTTTCCCCACTTTGACTATTGCTGTACGGTATATGGGGGCGTCTCTGGGGATCTCGAGGCGAAACTAAAACGTTTGATAAATTGCTTTGTACGATTCATCTTCGGGATCGCAAGGGACACCTCTGTTTCCGATTTTTATGCGGAGTTAAAGTGGCTTTATTCTTCCTATCATCGTAAGTATTTCCAGGCATCCTTCCTCTTTCAAGTCATCCAATCCCACCGTCCCTCATACATCTCCGAGCTCCTTCAATTCAAATCCTCTGGTCGTTCCCGGTCTTCTTATTTATACATAAGGGCCCACCGAACCGCTGCTTTCGACAAATCGTTCATTATCCGATCCTCATCCCTATGGAACTCCATCCCTTCCCACATCCGTCAATCCAATACCCTTCCTATCTTTAAATTCCGCCTGTTCAATCATTTCTTATCCATCCAGTCCCCATAAAATCGTAAATAGATACTACTGTAAATAAATTATTAGTTCGTTCTTCATTATTTGTGTTCCAATGTTTTTTATCTTTTTTTTTTTTTATTATCAACTGATCAAAATTGGAAAGCAACTTATATGTCTATGTGTGTGTATATATATATATAATTTATTTTATTTTATTTTTTTTTCACCAAGACAGTTCAATTACTCTGTATTTTTATTTATGTATCTCTGAGGCTCCCTAGCCCACATTTCTGTCTTCCTGTATTATTCTAAAGGGACTCGTCCCAGAATAAATAAAGAATTATTATTATTATTAAAATTAAACAAATCAAACCAAAATAAAAATAATAGTGTAATAAACAGATCAGATATAAAAAGGGAAATAAGCCACAGAACTAGAATAGGCTAATATGTCTTATTAGCCAATTTATTTTTATGAAAAGTAGATTGTTGCTAAATCTCAATTGGTAATGTTTGTGTATCTATTTCTCAAATATGCCTTAATTTTCTTGGTATATATTGTAAAGGATTGTTAGTAAAGGATTAAAATATATATATTTTAAATATTACTTTTGTTCTACCAATGGGTAGTTTCTCTTCATGTTGTACATGCCATGTTACAAATTTCTCATTTACTTATTGTATTCTCTATGTAATACAGTTGTAAATTCCATTAAAATAATAAAAAAAAAAAAGAAAAAAAAATATTACTTTTAAAAATATATAACTTTGTTTAAATTATAAAAATATTACAGCACTGAAGGTAGTAAATATGACAAGAAAATGTTATTTCATCCCTGACTTGTTTGTGAATTTGAATAGTCTACAAGCTTTATGTGGCAGTTTAAGTTGAAAGAATTACTGAAAGTAGTCATAACCATTTTAGATCAGTTGAAATGAAAAATACTGTTTAATATATTAATAATTTTTTTTTAAGTGAAAACTTCGTTAGGTGCATTTTGTACTTTTTTGTGGAGAGTGAATTAGATTGATCAGTCAGATTTCGTTCGGTACTAACGCTCGGGTAAAGTCGGCTAGAGTCGACTAATTAAAATATTTTTACATATGGATTAGAACACCTTAGAAACTATAAATCGGGCCTGCATACTATAAGTGAGGAAAGTGTTCAGCATTTCATTCTCTCTGTAATAGGCCATTAACCGAATTGTATCTTAACGTGATGCCGTGTTAGGGAGGGGAAAAGGAAAAAAATAGTGTCAAAAGCCAAGTGATAACGAAGTTAGTTGAACATAAGGATTAAAATATTTCAGATACTAAAAATCGGACCAGTATACTGTAAGCGAGGGAAATGTTCAGCATTTCATCTTCTTTGTAATCAGCTATTATTTATAATTTATATTTCTTATTATTAATCTCTCCTGGTTGATGTTTTATTTTTTTTTTTTTTTTTGGAACTTCATAAACTTTAAAAAAACCATGTTACCACCCCTCGTAACTTTTTTGCAGCTTTTTTTCATTGAAGTACGTTTTTTTCAAAATGGTATAAACATTTTTTTATGCAAGTAGTTATTTCTTCGGGAAGGATAGATAAAAACCCTTTTTATACTTGTATTAATTTAATCCCCACATATATTATTACAGTAAGGCTCGAAATCGGTTTTGTACCAAATATAAGCTCCTGTCATCCTCAAATACCATGAATGGGGTACCATTGGACTCAGAATTTCACAGGGGGTATGCAAATCGTATTCTCCACTTTTGTTTTTCTTTCTAAAATAAATAAAGTCGATACAAACATTTTGCTAGGCTTCAATACTGGAATGGTGGTAGGTCTGTAGATCAATACGGGACAAATTGGATCTTGAAAATTTGTATGCGTATAGCAAGACCCAGATAGTTCCTCCGCAACTATCGGATGCTGCATTTTTAAGCTCAAAAACGTACTATTTTCGAGATAACGCAAGGCATAGGGTTCGTATCCACACAACCTTACGTTAATTGTAGTACTTTCAATGAATACATGTCTCATTTCGTCGACTTGAGGCCTCTATGATCGAGAGAGGAGGAGTTTATATTACTTATCCATGGTGTTTTTGATCGGTAAGCTATATCATCGTTAATTCTTCACTAAATCTCAAGATTGAGCCACAAATTTCGAAGGATCCCTTCCTCCTTCTGGCGGGCAAAATAGTCCAACCATTCCGAAAATTCAGATGAACAAGTTATGAAAGAATGCAAACTTAATTTGCGAATAACTAAAAAATTACACACTTTTCCCTTGGTTATGCCCATGATTATGTAAAAATTACTAAATTCACTACAAAAGGAAAAGAAAAATCATCGAAATCGGACAACTTTTAGCAAAGATACAGCTTATTCAAATTTGTAAACATGTTGGTTCCAAACATTAAAGAAGATTTGAATTAATTTTTGTTTTTTTTGTCGATTATATTTATCGATAAAGTAACAATTGATTTCTTTATCTTTTGATACGCTGCATTATTTTATTTTCTTATTAATTTGGCATTTGATAACAATATGCTGTGCGAATTTTTTGCACGGGCCTACTAGTTTTTATAAATAACCTATAACAACATTAAAAAAGAAAACTGTAATAAAATATTTTTTTCAATATTTTCGGTTCAATTTGTTTCAAAAAAGCCACAGGATCTCAATGAATAATTTTAGCCATCAAAAATGAAAATCGATCTACTTATTCACTCCAGAAATCATTACACAGCTTCAGGTAAATAAGAATTTTTATATAATCTTCTTAAAGATATAACTATTGTAAAATATTGTCTTATGTTTGAAGCCAGTTAAATAATTTTAAAAAAATATAATAGAGTTAAAATTAATACTAGGGATACAAAATCAATGAGAGCTTACTTACTGGTTCTTCGAAGGGATTGACTTTGGTAACACTGTAAGATGGCCTTGAAGTTTGCTTGGCAATCCTCGCATTATGGTCATAGAATCTAACCCTCGGAGGCTCTGGCGGTTCTATCGGTTCTTTTGTGACTCGAGCGGATCTTGGAGGCCACGTAACGTCAGAATCATCACTGTCATCTTCATCGCTGTCTTCTTCAGCCACATTTGACCTCCTGCCTCTAAAAAAACATTTTATCAAAATGACTACGATTTTTTGAGACCTAAAGATTTTGGTCAAATACGGAAAAAGTTCAAAAAAATTAATGTTAGAAATGAATACTAATGAGATAAAAGTTTTTATACCGATAAATAGATCTAGGCGAGAAAAATTCTCAAGAGTAATAAGTAATACTAGTTGGCCCGTGCGAAAAATTCACAGAAATGGAATTAATACTTTTTCCTTAGTCGATCTTTCTAATTATCATGGGTACGATTCGGAAAAAAAATACATACTTTTTGAGTTATTCGCAAATAAAGTTTCTTTTTCTCCATAACTTTTTTTACAGAAATTTTGGGGGGATGGGACTATTTTTCGCATGTGAAGGATATCTTCAAAATGAGTGGTCAATCATTGGATTTGATGAAGAATCATCGAAGTTATGGCGTACCGACAAAAATACACCTTTTAGAAATAATATATAGGATACCTTCATACACTATCAACTCAATACTTTAAAGGACACTAGGTTGATTTATAGTAGAGCTGAGCTGAGCACAGTTGAACAGCTTAGCAAGGGTCAGATCAGGTCAGCTTCTAACACCGCCCCTACTCACCATTGTCACACAACTGTGGGGCTTTGATCCTCAGGATCATCCTTTTTTTCCGCTCATTTTCAGTGCACAACCTCTCACATTATTTTATTTTGGCTCAGTATAAAACATGCTATGGATGTGGAACAATCTTAATTGAATGTATAAGGGAAAATATTCTATTTTATACATAAATATTCAATTTTTCTTTTCAGCTTCAATATGATTATCTTTGCTATTTTTTTAAAATATTATATATTTGTTTTTTGTTTTTTTTAATGTGATCTGTTTGTTTTCACTGTACAACCTCTCAAATTATTTTATTTTGGTTCAGTATAAAATATGCAATTTTATACACAAATATTCGATTTTTCTTTTCAGCTCTGACATGATCACCTTTGCTAATTTTTTTAAATATCAATGTTAGCTATATCTCTGTGGATCTGCAACAACAAATATTCACATAAACATGAATCCAGGTATTGCCTTATGGTTCCTCACTGGTTTTTATTTCTCCACTTAACTGAGCCCCATGATAATTCTACATGGTGAATGCAGACCTCACTTGAAGGATCGACAAAGTTATACTGACGATTCACCTGGAAATGGTTGTAGTTTGCTTCATTTCGTAGTTGGGTGTTGTATCTGATCCAACAGTCAGAATATATAGTGTTTCTCTCTTCTACATTATTTTTAATACATTCTAATACAGTTGTATTAGTGTATATATTTGTGTGGCAGAGTTTCATATTCAAGCTCCAACAGTTTTTATGATGTCACACATGAGATATATGGCCGGGCGTTGTCATGCAACAAAATGGACCCCTTCCAATTGACCAAAGATGGCTTCATTATTGCCAATTTCTGTTGCATTGCATTAATTTGGTTACAATATGATTCGGTATTGATGGTTTCTCCAGGATTAAAGAAGTTGTACCAAATGAAGCCCACCAAACAGTAACCATCACCTTTTTTTGATGAGTTGGAGGCTTTGGAAAAAGTTCTGTTGCTTCTCCTTTGTCGAACCACTGTCCAGAACCTCTACTGTTACCGTAAAATATCCACTTTTCATTGGACAGAAAAGGGTTGTTATTGTTTTGGCAAAGAAGTGTAGATAAATTTAATTTATACTACAATAAATATAAAAAATAATGCTGGATTTCTTGGCAGTCGTTTAATGTGTGTGGAACTCAACTTTAAAGATTTTTTACCTTTCCAATCGCCTTGGTGGTCATCGACAGTCGATTTGCTAAAGTTAAGTTTCTGTGAATTTTATCGCCAAAAGAATATCATCATTAAGAGAGGAAGTCCTTCCACGATCTTCTTTGTCTTTAAGGCTGAAGTCTCCCTCTCAAAATTTTTTTAACCACCGTTGAACAGTGCACCCATTAATGTTGCTCTCTTCCCATACTTGATTGATGTTCCTCGCCGTCTGGACCCCATTCCGGCTGAGTTTAAACTCATAAAACAAAATTATATGAAAATCATGCTTTGACATCTTAGTAAAGACTGAATTATTTCCAAGTTGCGAAATACTACACAGGTAAACAAACAGTATCGTTTGGAAGAGAAGTGTTTACATTCATACAAATGAATAATCCAGTAAATGTAAAAAGTTTGTTATATAGGGAGATATTTAAAAAAAAATCCTGCATTATTTTCCAGACAATTCAATAGTTGTTGCTTTTCTGCTAAAGTGTTATTATATCCATTTTAAATAGAAAATAACAAAAACTGAAAACAATTGAATGATGAGAAGAATGTACAAGTAACTAGCAGAGACAGATGATAAGAAGAAATTACGTTCCGGCTAAGTCACAAGTACCAAGAAATTTAATTGAACAAGAGAAAGCTCAATAAATTGCACTCATTGCTGTACAGTGACTATAGGCTAGAAATGAAGGGTGGGACATATATGTCCCATACATATAGAACCCACTATGGGTTTATTTATAAAATCTACTTCAATCAGCTAGTGTACTCAATATTTCGGTCTCGATAATATCTCTTTAGTTTCCTTATGTCTAACAATCCTATATCGATGAAGTAAGGCTATCTATGAGTTTATATAATACTGCTTCTGAAGTCGGACCAATATGCCCCATTTTCTTATACAGGGTAAGACAAGAAAATCGTGTCTGTATTTCTATATTCGATTCTTATACAAAAACTAAATATACCTGGAGGACGGACGGTTCCTAGCAGATCTTGGAGGAGATAAGCTGGACCTGGCTTTGGAAAATTCCCTCTGACCACGCTGAGAAAATTTCTTAGTGGGGAGAACAACTTTTTTGCTACACACTGACTGTTCACGTTCATCTTCTGGATCTTCACTTTGATGAATTCTTAAAAAGAACAAAAAAAAAAATTATTATCTTTTAGTTGGTATATGTATATTGCTGATGGCTATAAAAGTGGATGATACACTGACAGGAAAAAAATTCCACCCACTTGATTTTTTTATGTTTTCATCTAAAAATATTTCTGCTTTGGATTGGTCTATTGTTTTTAATGAATAAATATATAATCTTTTTGTTTGTTTTCAATTAGGAATGTTAATATAGAGGACAATAACCCTTAATCCTTAATTCAATGAAATGATTCTAGATTCCAATGTTTACTTTCTATGGAATCAAAATATTTATTCAGTATCATTAGTTCAGTGCCGTTTCTTGCAGCACATTTCTTAGTCTCCGGCTTTTAATTTTTTCAATATTAAGTTTAAAAATGCCTCTTAGTGCTGAGGATGTTGCGCGTGGTGTGGCACTTATAGATGATGGACACTTATAGATCCATTAGATATGCAGCTAATGCCATCGGAGTTCCAAATGAAACTTTACGAGACACCGTCAGGCGTTTTCGGGAAACTAGTTCTTACAATAGAAAGTCCAGTTCTGGACAGCCTAGGGTAACAGAACCACGGGATGACCGGTTTTTTACTTTGAGAATTTTACAAAACCGGCACCTTACCGTTGTTCAAGCGATTCATCAGCTCAAAGAAGTTCCGCTTGGAGAAGATTAAATGAGTATGCATTAATGGCTTTTCATCCAGTAAGAGGACCAGAGTTGACCAGAACTCACAGAGTAACACTGCTGGCTTTTGCTCGAGAACACAGGCATTGGACCATGGACGAATGGAGTGTTGTACTTTTTACAGATGAGTCAAGATTTGCTCTTCGATCACCAGACGGGAGTGAAAGGGTGTGGAGAAGAAGAAACGAAAGATATGCAGCCTGTAATTTTTCCCAGAGCCAACCTTTCCAATGTGGTTCCTTAATGGGTAACAAGTGGGTGGAATTTTTTGCCTGTCAGTGTATAAATACCAAAATTTATAATTATTAAACATTATAATGTTTTTACATCTATTATTTTCTTTATATAATTCTTTATTCCTTTTCTCTGTTTTATATTTTATGATTATCTCACTTCCTTTTAGCACACTAAGACATCACATTTTAGAAACTATGTCACCCCATTTATTTTATGTCTACACTAACGTCTTGCATCTCATATATCCCATTACATTTCATTGTTAATTCATTTTTCATTTCTTATATTACCTTATTAGTCGCTACTTTGTCGCTGTTATTATTCATTTCATAGTTCTCTGTTACTATTATTATTTTATTCATAATTTCCTAACTTTGTTATTGTTACGTTATATATCCTAACTTTGCTTCTGCTACTTTCTATCCCTAACCTAACAACATTGTTATCGTTATTTTATATTTCCTTTAAGTTTATTCTACCTACATTTCCAATGTACAATCTACAATCCAAGCAAATATACCAGTTTTTCCTTGTCGTTCAATTAAAAGAATTTTGCCTAAAATTGAAATTATTAAACATGAAGATTTTGAATTATAGTTTTGATTTTATAGTTTTTTTATGGCACTTAAACTGTCTGTTACAATTAAAATTTTATTATAATTGCTGTATTTTATATAATCCAGAGCAACTAATATTGCTGTCAATTCGGCCGGGTAAACTGAAGCCTTTTCATGTATACTAATACGGATACCGTGGTTATCTGTAGGATTAAAGACAGCAGCGCCTACTCCCTTAGGCCTCTTAGAGCCGTCAATGAACATTAGATAAGTGATGGAAAGTTTAATTTAATATATTCGTGAAAATATGGATCACGCTGAGAGGTTCTGGAACTGTGTCAAAGTTGGGAAAAGTTATTTCGATGTTTAGTAAAAATATATTGTATAAACAATTAAAAATGGGAGCTTTATTCAGAACATGAATAATATCTTTATCTTTATAGTTACACACTTTTAAAAAATCTGCTGCCAATGGGAATGGAGTTTTATTTTTCTAATACCTGAGAGTGATGGTATCTGATGCTAATCGAACTAGTTTATACTTTAAATTACTACAAGCATTTTTAAAACAAATTTACCGCTCAAAACTTTCCTTCTGATTATTAATGGAGGTTCTCCAGCATCAACTAAAATATTACTGATTGGGCTATTGTGATTCCGACACTACAATACAATAGGTATAAACCTTAATCAAGGTATAGTCAATTAGGCAAACTATTATAAAAAAACCCATGAAGGGTATTGGGTGCAGTACTATGTGAGGAACAACTGTTTCAAGACCAATGATTGTGCGGGAGGTGATGGGGCTGATATCACACTCAACCACCAGGTTTTTCCCCTTAATTATTTTTTTAATTAAGGGTATCCACCTTATGGAGGCTGGGGGTGCCCCAGGAGGCTCTCCCAACCCCAGGGTCGATTCACGGCTAATGAAAAATTACTATTCATGAGCCGGATTTGAACCCAGAACCTTGAGCTCTGGAAGTCAGTGCTTACCTACTGAGCTTATCCCACTCCCTAAACTACTATAAAGCTTCCTATAAATATTGTTTGCAGTAACAATAACTAAAGCTCAAATACAAACATTACAGCAGGGATTGATTATTGTATTCAAATCTACTTTGAAATTGGATTTATGAAAAAATAAATAAGCTGGAGTCATTTTAAGAAACCTGTTAAATAGAAGATTTATTTTTTATCACAGAGAACTATACGTTGTCATATCTAGATCAGGTAGCAGAAAAAGAATAGTAAAAAATATCACAAATAAAACATACATAAAGCCATCAACTAAAGATATTTTCTATCATGCCAGTATAAATTAAATTTATAATGTTACTCAGTTAGAGAGATGTACTGAATATGTATATATCATATGCACGAATATTACATATGAATGAACCAGGCATATATAATTCTAATTTAATCTAGGTCAAAACCATATAGTATAGTAAATATATAATAAAAATAATTAAAAAATACTTACTGGACTTTTATGGTAGATGACTTCATCTGTGAAACTGAAGGTTTGACCTCGGGAAGATTCGAAACTACAGCAGATCTTAAATCTTCCATTTGTCGGACCATCTTTTTTCTCCCAAGAGTTATTTGGGACATTTCTTTTTTGATACATTTTTCAGCTTTTATTCTTTCCTCTGCGATAGCTCCTCTTGCCTTGGCTATTGCATCCCGCAGATCTTGTTTTTCTCTAGCTAGAGCATCGCACTCATCCTACAAAAGGTTATCAGAATTTCATTAAACAACCATAAAAAGTTTACCATCGAATATATCACCACATAACCAGCAGAATATCCAGCAAATTCACTATTTATAATAAACTATCGCAGTCCTAAAAACATTGAAAACTTAAAATCTAGTTTTAATAGATACATTACTCTGCCTGATATATATGACGATATGATACTGAAATTATTAAAATAGTGTTCTGAATACAAACCTGCATCGAAGCCAAATGATGGCCTGTACCGACCGTAGAGAGAGACTTCTGGTATTCATTATGTAAACAAGCGATTTGTTCTTCTCTCCTTCTGTTTTGCTCTTCATTTTCTTTTTCTTCTTCATCCTTTTGAAGAGCACTTTCTTCAGATGAGACTCTTCTTCTGACAGACTGAGTTAAATCTTTGGCCTGCTGTCGAGCCTTTGAACAATTAATAATAAAATTCATAAGCAAGAAAAGAAAAATTTTAATTTATGTAAGTCAACTGATAATGTTAACAAGAAAAAAAAAATCCACATAAATAACATTCAGTTAATAATATGGTAAGATGTAATTTAAATTTATCATCATCATTTTAAGTGAACTCATGAACATCATCATCTTAACCTTATGATTAGCTCAGATCTCAGGAAATCTCTGGAACATGTAAACGAAATCTAAAGAAAAAGATAATATATTCCCAGTAGAAAAAACAAACGAGAATAACTGATAGGCTTAAAAATTATATTGACTTTTTAAAATTGAAAGTTCATGTGTATTTATTTTATTCTCTTTAGTTCTACAAATAGTTTTATTTCTAACTGAAAAATCTTATCACAATTTATACAAAATGAAAGTAGATTTACCCACATAAAACACAAGAGATTGAAACTCCTCAATAAACCCAGTTGGGCGAGGATTCATATAAATTTACCGGAGATGGAAAAATTATATTCGCTTATTCAACAGCCATTAATAATTAAACAATATTTTAAAACAATAATTTATTTTGTATTTTAAAAATTTTCAAGACAACAATTTGGGTTGGTAAAGCAATGAAATAAGAGCACCAGATCCAAAATGTCAAACAAAAACTAGGAAACAACAACGCTGGATCTGGCTCGCAAGCACCTTCAATCGGGTCCATGAAAGTTTCTTTGATAACAAAACAAAACTTTAAAAATTCAAATTTAGCAAATTAATCACACATGAGATTAATATAGCATTTATTGCATGCTAAGTGTCAATTACCAACATAAATCAGTAAAATCCAACTCCAATTAATTTTTAAATATATATATATATTTTATATATATATAAAATTTTAAGGCGTCATCTCACCTATCTTGAGAGACAAGTGATGCCTGTTGGATCCAGCCAGTGAGGGTAAGACTTTTTTAGTGATGGGCCCATAGAATTAATCTCGTTCTTCTTACTCTAGCTAAAATTGGTCACTTATCTATAATAAAATCTGTCCTCCCTGGTCTAGATAGAGGGATAATGGAATTTAAATCCAAATAAAGCAACACTAAGAGACATTTAATTTAAAAGCAGCGACTCAAAATGGAACAATTCAATATAGCTGTTCCTTTAAACGACTGTTAAAAATCCACTACAATTTCACAACATCTTATTTAGTGTCCAGCATTTAAATTAAAGTGGTTGTCCTGGCAGCAAACAGAAAGGCTGTACAAAGAACCTGAAGAGAACTCCTTTGAAATAATGATGAAAATAAAATAATGAAAGGATAAGCCTCCTCAACACACATCATTTCCACTAATATTTAAAAACTTATTTGCACTTCCATTAAGGATAAACATGTTGCAAGAATTTCAAAGTCAAAGATAATTTTTGACAAATAAACTAGAATACAACTTATTACTTATATTCTTGAAATATTTAAAACTACATACTTGCTGAAGCCTTATTTTTCTTCTTCTTAACCATTCATTTTTCTTTGCTGTTTCTATATCCGTCAATAAAACTTTACCTCTGCCCAGATAAACGGGATTACCAGATACCGTGACATGAATGGACATGTCAAACTGAACACTTTATATAAAATGCCATTATGAAAAGGTGAAGAATTCAAGTGGATCCTTATGTCATAACATTGAAAGTAATAAAATGTCACAAAAACATAAAACGGCACGATCTCTCAGTAACCTTCCCGTTTTAAATTTTCCGTTGTGAATTCAAAACAAATCCCAAGTTATGCCAACACTTCATTAACTCAAATAAAATTCAAAACATCAACTGACTCCAATTCGACTGAAATGTACAAATTGTAATAAACTAAAGTTATAATTCTCCCCAAACTATAATGTTTTAAGAAATCAAAATTTCAAAATAATTTAATTTAGTTGAAAACAATTTTGGAAAAAGAGCGCTCTAATGGTTGTTTGTGAAACTAAAGGCGTTGAGGAGGCAAAATACTTGTCATGTTTGTTATAATGACTGTTGTTATCTTGTACCACATAAAATAATTAAAGTACTTGTTAGTTTGTCTCTCTGAAATTATTTTAAATAAAAGAGCACCTTTTAGATTCTTCTGAAAGTCAGTAATATCAAAACATTTTGGCATTTCTCCCTTTTTTCTTTTCTTCTTAGTGAATTGCTCATTGAATGGAATAGGAATCTTTACTGGCTATATGAATGTTATAGAATTTTTCACTCATAGAGATTTACAATGGATTTAGAAAAGCACCGTATTATTAAGGTATGCAATGATACATTTTTATTAATGTATGTATATCACATTTAAATAATACATAGTTTGCATTAAATAATGATTCCTTATTTTTACAGGCTCCTCCTACTATCTACTACATTCCAGATTTTATAAATGCAGTAGAAGAAACCTGGATATTAGATAAAGTATATACTGCTCCTATACCTAAATGGACCCAATTGTTGAATCGGAGACTTCAAAACTGGGGAGGACTTCCAATTCCTAATGGAATGATTGTTGAACCTATACCAAGTGTGTGTATACCTTCATAATATTTATGTTTTTTTTTTTTTACACACCATTTTTCTCACCTGAGTGATGTCATATTGTTTAACTTCTTAGCTTTCTAGAAGATAGGCTGAAAAACCTCACATTCTTAAGTATTACTGTATAAATGACACTCCACTTGCCACTTTCCAAACATTCCAATTGTGTATCCTAAAGTAGATAAAGGTGACCAGACCTGGTAAGGCCCCAATCTCTTCTTAATAAGTCCCTTTTTGCTTTGTTTATCCATTTTGAACGAACAGAAGTTGAAAGCAACGATATAATTAAAGCTAATTAACTCCCTGATTTTAACTGAAAGAAAGAGGAGGAAGTTTACTGAATCTTAAGTCGATATCTAAATGAAGAGAGATTATTCTGTTACCATGTCAATCCTGAGCTCTTCTTGGAATCCTATTTATAACGTAATCATGGGATTTTGGCCCACTCTTGAAAGTGAAGTGCCTTGTGCAGTGAACTCTTTCTTAATTTCAGATGTTAATTGAAGTAATATGGTAGGGCTATCGCACTAAAATGACTATTCAAAAATTTTGAAATTGTAGTTAGTCATTCTGTTGACCGAAAGGCTCATTTACTAGACAGAGGCCCTTTTTACCCCTTTAGTATTTTTATAAAGGGCTAATCCTCCTATATTTCACAGCCATTTACTTAAAATAACTCACAAAAAGTTTTTAAACTATAAGAGTAATAATTTAATTATATTACAGGTACATAATAGCTCAGTGATTACTGTATTTATGGCATTCTGTCACATCTCTCTCCTTCCATCCACACTGACCTTGGCCATCCCTAAGTGCTGGTCTCTAAGGCTGCTGAACTTTGATGGTTGGCACAAGATCTCATGATCACGCTATAAATGAAATTCCAAGAATGGACGAAAGTAAACGAATATGACGGAACTGTCTGTTAAGGCTTGTACCTCAAATGAAAAGGCCCCTTTGGAGATTTGGTTATCTTTTTGAGCGAGTATTAGTTAAAAGCAGCAATCTAATTAAGGCTCCGTTTTTAACTGAAGAGGACCACTTAGGAGTATGCACAAGTCGTAAGCATTTCAATGCTCAGATATTCCTGAAATTCCATTTATTTCTTCATTGCCACTCATCAAAGCACAGCGACACTTGCACAGTAGTACCTTAGTTTCTATTGAATAAAATAGTGTACATATAACAGCTGAGTATAAGATTACACTGTAAATGGAATTCTGAAAGTATCTTGAATGTGTGCAATAGTATAGAAGGTGACAATCCTATAAATAAAAGAAAAATTATAGAAGATATTTTCTGATGAACTTGATCATATCCTACCGTGCACTGTCAATTATTCAACATGTTTAAATACATAATTGTTGTCACAATAAATAAATTGTTGTCCTGGGTTCAGTAATATTTAGAGAAAGCGCTGTTTCTTAGTCAACGGTTGTGCAAGGAGGTGATTTGACTGAGATCACGCTCAACCATCAGGTTTTCCCCCTTAATTAGTTATTTAATTAAGGGTACCCACTTTATAGACTTTAGTTGTGCCCCAGGAGATCCCTGATCCCAGAGATGCTCCACGTCTGATGAAACAGAATAAATAATTTTTCTTCCATGAGCCAGGATTCGAACCTGGGACCTTGAAAATTGAATGATCATTACCCTACCACTAAGCTACCCCACTCTCTGCAATGTAATGTTAAGGTATTATTAAATATAAGTGCATGAAGCAAGTTGTGCGATTACAAATTTTGAGAGGTTACATTTTCACGGGTTATGGATTTATGTTGTGCAATTAAAAATTTTGAGTTTACTTTTTGAGGAGAGCACATTTTTAAGGGGTAGTGAATTTGCTGGATGTTTCTTATCAGTAAAATATGGAACAGACTACAGCAAGTGTAATTGTATATAAACTTCTTCTGTAATTCATGTCTCGCAAGGAGCTTTTTTAAGAAGAGAGCAATAAAATTTCTTGGGAGAGGACATGTGTCATTGTCATTGTGGTATGGGTATCCTAGGAACTAATTAATACTGTACTCATTTTAATAGTAATTAATTATCCCAATTAATCAGGATCAGGTATGTCCGTCTACTCCTAGACTCAACTACTTTTGGTATTCCATGCAGGGCTTGAAATGGAAAAAAAAACTTTTATTTTTAAAAAGTTTCAGTATCTCTGGAACTTTTACTGACGTTACTTTTTCAGTTCTTTTGTAACTAGTACTTTTTCCCTTGCAACTTTTCAAGTAAAGATTTTCCAGATGACTTTTATTCATAGCTATTTGAACAAACAATACATTACAATAATGTGTAACTCATTTGAGACAAATTATAACTATAATATAAGCTCAATTACTATTTATTATTCATTTAATGGAACTTTTATTAAGAACTCAATAAATAAAAGTTATACTTTTACCATAAACCTAGAACTTTATTCCTAAAAAGTTTCACATCAACTGTTTAAATGGGACTTTTTAAAAAAGTTTCAACTGCTGATTCCATGTTGTATGTGATCTTGTGCCTAGCGACCATTTAATCCACCTCTTTCTTCCTATGCATTGAACGTATTTTTAGTATATAAAGATTATTATAAGTATTGCTGATAATATATGAATTGAAATTCCTTTTTTTCCTAGTGGCTGAAAACGTTCATGGATAAAGTCAGTGATTTGAAGGTATTCAATGATGGACAACTGAGAGCGAACCATGTGCTTATTAATGAATATCTTTCTGGTCAAGGAATTATGGTAATTTTTTTTATATTAATTTCCAAATATTTATTTTACTTACCAGAATTTATATATTTTTGGAGTCATTTGAAATATTCAAGAAAAAACAAAAACTTATAAGTTATCATTTGTAGTTTCTTGGGTGATAAATATTCAGGACGCAGTCATTATAAAGTTTTTATTGGTGCCGACGTTTCAACCCAAACATGTGGGTCATCATCAGGACGTGTTTCAAGCACTGAAGATATTCAAGTACTAAAGGGATGTTTCTATATTGTTTTACGGACATCCTGAACAAGCTTCAGTTACTATTGATTTAAAACTTTATTGAAATTATAATTAAAACAAATTTGAAGAAAATTGACTTTAAATTTATCAGAACCCCTCTCATTGTAGAATTTCAAGATTTTTGAATGGCTATAATCAGTGGCAAAATAATGTTAAGAATATTCATACCTGGTATATTGGGTTTCAATAGACTTGGGTTTACTATGGATGTAAGCACAGTATTTTTCTTATTTTGATAATTCATTATAGTTCAGTCACAACCCCTGTTTTTCTTTTGGTGATTTCCTTCAAGGAAGGACATTTTGGTAATAATTAGAACTTAAATTCAAAGGATTTTTCGGAAGAACTCAGGCATAACAAAAATACTTAGTACAGCCATATAAAACGTAAAATAATTAGTAATCATATCTGAACCAATTCAACTGATTTAGGCTCCATAAAATATTTTATTTTTGTTTTTCAGCCAAACTATTTTATTGAAACTAAATTTTAGAGTACTCCAGTTGCTGGATAAAAATAGTTTTGGAAGAACCACTAATTTTAAAAATAAAAAAATACAAGTAACAATTTTCTTGATTTTGTCAAAAATTGAATTAAAGAGTTTTGCACTTCACTCACTCAAATGTAATTGAAGTGCTGATAAAATAAATATATTTGAAAAATAAATAAATTCTTTACTGCAAATCGACACCAGATGCCATAAATTTACTTCACTCTTTTTATAATATTATGTACCTTTTATTGTGGCGACATTCTTACACAGATAAGGCCTCCACTATATTAGTGTAACCATATAATATGTTACTTATTGTTGAAAATTATTATAGGCCATTTTTATTAAATATAAAATGAACTGAATTTTTATCGTTCTCAATGTGTTTTTCATCTGTTAAGCTTGTTAAAATTTAATTTTCCATGAGAAACTAATGTTTTTAACTAAGGCTATTTAGCAGTATGGTGTTGATTTAGGGGTAGCCATTTTGAAAACTTTGTGATTAAGATATGTCGGACTATTTTACTAATGATAAGATCTCGCTAATATTAAAATACCAATTAATTTTACAATGACATAATAATTTTAATTAAAATTTCTGGAGCTGTTTTTGAGAAAAATTGGTAAAGAAAGTCTTGTGAGAAGACAAATCTGATATTTTGATTTTCTCCTCATGAAAACTTACGAGTATATTAATAAATTTATTGCAATTTTTATAGAAATAAACTAAGATGTGTACTTTAGACGACACAATAGAAGTGAAAACATCAACGAAGCGAGATTAATACTCATTATAAAGCAAATGAAATGCTGAACATTTTCCTCGATTACACTATTTAGGCCTGATTTTTAGTTTCTGGGAGAAATTTTAATCCATACCTATCGTAAAATTGGTTATCATTCGGTTTTCGACACTATTTTTTCTTTTTCACCTCTCTGACACAGTGTCACTTTAAGATACAATTTTAAATTTAAGATACAGAGAGGATGAAATGCTGAACAATTCTCTCGCTTATAATATGCAGTTTTGATTTATAGTTTCTGAGATATTTTAATCCATATGGAAAAACTTTTCAATTAGTCAATTCCAGCTGACTACCCGAGCATTACACAAGTTAATGTTGAATACCTTGTTTGATTAATTAATTTTTATTTGATACTGGAAACTATATATTTAAAATATGTGTATATTTGATTTAATAGTTCACTAATTTAAATTTCTTTTCAGCCTCATGTGGACGGCCCCTTGTTTTACCCAACGGTAGCAACGATAAGCTGTGGCTCCCATACTGTCCTAGAGTTTGAGAAAAACTTAGGTCCTGATGAGGTAGTTAATAATAGTTGGTTTATTTTAGGAATAATAAGTTAACTAACTGTCCAATATTTATTGTTGAAGCACATATAAAATTATTTGTTTGTTTCTCCAAGCATTCTGGTTTCTACATTGAGGAAAATGTATTTTGAATCACTCGTTATTGATTAATAGTTGGAGATAATTAGTCTTAGTTTGATTTCAGTAGTATAATAAATACAATAACTGTATTAAAATAATAATTTATTAAAATGTACCTCTGTCTTACAGGAAAAGACTGATGACAACAAGATATCTATATTTCTACAACGAAGAAGTCTCATTATCGTTAAAGATTCTATGTACACCGATTACAAACACACAATCAGAGAGTCGAAAGAAGATGAGATAGATGAAAATGTTGTGAATGCTCAATTGTCTCAATTAAGTGTTGGTGATAAATTACAAAGAGAAACAAGAATATCACTTACTATTCGGCATGTACCAAAAATCAGCAAAATAAAGTTGAAATTTGGAAAATAAATAATCTTTATTTTAATAAATAAAGTATTCAAAAACTTATATTATTTCATTGTGTACAAAACCCTTAAAATAAAAGTAACATATATATATATATATATATATATATATATATATATAATTCCTAAGGATCTTGTTCCATTTCAGCCTGGTCTTCAGAAGATTCTGATATACATCGACTTATCAGAGCTGATATTTCATCATCATCTTCATCGATGACTTCAAGACCCTCATTGTGAACGGATTCATCGGCATCAAGAACTGCTTGAAGCTGCTGTAAAGATGTGAACAATACATGAAATTGCTTACGCCTTAGTTCTAGTTTTGCTTCCAAGTATTCTAAGCGTTCCTGGGGGAAAAAAAAGAATAAGATTATTTTCTTTTATTATCTTATTAAAATAATAAGATTAAAAATAAAAGACATGGCATATGATCCTTTTTCATTAATTAATAATCAATATAGTTAAAACCTCTCTACGATGGACACTCACGAGTCCTACAGTTACCAGTTCATCAGTTGCAGAGAGGTATCAGCCCTGGAGCCAGGGCCCGAAAATCGACGTAAACGCAGGCGAAGGTTTGATTGTAATTTACTAAAGTGTATGTTATTCGGAACAAAAAGAACCTTTTCTGCCGTTCCAGAGCTGCTGCTTTAAAAAATGGCGGTTGATTTAAAGAATATTAGATCAATAATTTGAGGATCGAAACATAAAATCCATTGAGAAAAATGTGAGAAAAGTTTTTATTTTTTTAACTTGTACATATAGGTTTAGACATGTAAAAAATAAAATTGCTAACGTGTGTCATCTTAAAAGTCCGATAGGCCATGACTATCTAAAAGGAACAGGAGACAATTTCAAACTTAAAAACAACTAATTCATCACTTATAAAAAATTATGGAGCAAAATTTGTCTTTTCTTCTTAAAAAAAAAAAAACATTCGAAAATAACATTTTATCTTAACTTCATGAAATACTTTCCTAAATTCTTGTTATTATATCTCTATAATATTTAGTGTGATTATTTGTAAATCATTTCTATGTAAATACTAGTATCAAGTAATGCTTATACAATAAACTTATGATTTGTTGATAAAATATCGAAATCATGAACTGAGATTAGTAGGCTACACAAATTATAAAATCGTAAGACAATTACATGTAATTAATTCTAAATCATGAATAAACTTCTGGAAACATAGACAGACTCTAACAGCCGATTGAGGCAAAATGGTTCTCTATATATTTTTTAATTTGAAACAACAGCAGATATCAATTAGAAACTTCATTTCTCATTAATTTTATATAATCCCAAAATTGAAAATCTCATACAACTTTTATAAAATTAATATTTCAATAATTTGTACAAAAAAAAGTATTTGTGCACAAGAGATGTTACTGAGTGTATGTTACTAAAATACTGTTTTAACGTTCTATTTATAAGCCGTTACTACAGAAGATTAAAGGACAAAACTGCACGAGAAATCGCTTGGTTAGTTCAGTACTAAAAATATTTCTTCGGCAATGGGTAATAGATCCAAACGATTGAGTTCTCATCTTGAAGATGACGTAAAACATTTTCAACAGGGTTTAAGTTTGCAATATATTGAAAACTTTAAATCTGAATCAGCGAACAATAAATCTCGCCCAAGGGAAAAACTCTTGTTGACTACAAAAATCCTGTGAAATTGTGTTTAAAACATTCTAAATTAAGTACTAGAGAGGTTTTGGCTCACATAGCGTCAGATTATAGAAAATCTGTAATACCCCAAACCATGAGGAATCGACTACATGAAGCTGGCTATAGAGGTAGAGCGGTAAGAAAAATACTTTTTTATAAACAAAATAAACAGAAAAAAAAGATCGAAGTTCGACCGAGAACATGTAAACAAACCTAACAAGTTTTGGAAAAATGAGTTGCTTTCAAATGAAAGCAAGAATCTGACGGAAAAAAATATGTATCCATTTGAACTCCACAACCCACAGTGAAGCACGGAGAGGGCAGTGTCATTGTATGGAGCTGCATGGGTGCAAAAGGAGTTGGTGAACTAGCCTTTATTGAAGGGATTATGAATGCTGACAAATATGTGAATGTATTGCGATGCAATTTAAATAAAAGTGTGTGAAAGTTAGGAATGGGGAATACAAATATGTTTCAGAAGGACAATGAACCCAAGCACAAGACCATAAAACCTAACAATGGTTGCTATGCTATATTCTCAAAACAACCCCACAATCACAAATCCGAAAATATCCTTGTTCTTCTCGAATGACTTAATAAACGATCTTAAAACATAGGAAGAAATTGGACCTCCAAGAGGCTCGTGGAACCAATGCTTAATACTGTGATAAACGTGAAAGGGTACCCTACAAAATATTAAAATTAATTGTATTTTGAATTTAATTGAAATTTATTATATTTTGTTTGGGTTAGTTAAATGTACAAATAACTCTTTTGGGCTTCATATTTCAAAATTTTGATATTTTTCATACAATATGAGTCATAAAATTTTACTTGTTTGTACAATTAATGCAAAATGAAGTTTCTAATTGTTATCTGTAGTTACTTTACGTTGGAAACATAAATACAAAGATTTTTGGCTAAAACATATAGCATGAAGGATTAATAAAATAGCTGCATCCAAATAAACTGAATTTTGGGAAAATACAATAGACTTATTGAATCATTAGACTGAATCTTCTGATGTCAGAAACAATTTGATTTACTAAGAATTGAGCTCTAAAACTGACAATGAAAATTTGTCTTATAATTATTTAAAAAATGCATTAAATGATGTATATTAGTTAAAACGTATTTTGAAGTGCAACACTGGATTTAGCAAATTTAACAGGAAACATCTTTAGAACTAGTGACTTTTGAACAAGAAAAACTCTAAGAATAAAATTTATATTATTACAATGAAACCTATCAGTAACTAAAGAATTTACAAAGAGAAAACACTACTGGTCAGTGGCAGGAATTTACTGAATGATTGAAAGCTTTTCATTTACTGCCATCATAATTTTATAAAAAATTGATATACCAGTTACTGTGATTGAAATTCACATTTTAAAACTTCCTTTCGTGCATAGAATAGGAGTTAATTAATATAATTAAACTATATCTTAATGAAAAATTTAGTATGTAAGCAGGATACTTATATAATTACAATAAGCTAATGAAAGCCACAAGATTTTACCTCAGAGACTTGAAGTTCTTTTTTAATGTTAATTAATTTTTCATTTGTCTCTTTTCTATCAGGCTGTTCATTAATAATTTTAGCCAAGGCTTCATATTCTAGCCTGTTTTTCCTTATCAATTTGGCATCTTTAAACTCATCTTTTGCATCAGCGATCTCCGTTTGCACTTGTGAAAGATTTTCCTGAATTTGTTTCGCTACATTGTCGTAGTTATCTAATTCTGAAGTCACCATCGATGCAGCGAGCCGAGATTTCACAAAAGCGTATTCACATTGTGAAATTTGAGATAACAGGTGATCCTTGCTAAAAAAAAAAAATTGAAAAAAGTTCATTTCAACTTATGTTAGCATGTAAACATCAAGTTTTAACCAACTATTTTCTCACCCCTCAATAGTACTATCTTCGCTATTGCACCATTTAAAAAACTTTTTAAGAAGTACATTTATTCTTCTATCATCACCAGTTCCATCACCGTCAATTAGAAGACGTCTCCTTATGATTTCTTCTATAAAAAAAAATATTTTTCACAAGTTAAAGAAATCTAAACAGCAGGACCAGTACAGGCCTTAAACATATGGCTTCCCTTGGTAATTATGACAAGAGGGCCCATCCATCTCGACAAAAATTAAAATATAATTTAAGAGGAACATCAAGATGTGTGTGTGGCTAAAGAACTCTCACTGGCTGCCAATACCAGTTACGCAGTTGAGAGACAAACTCTGGGGTCCCTCAACGAATGTGGGAGAAAAGTATGGTGCTGAGATTTATCCTGGTTGATTGTAAATAGTGTACATAGGTACGCCTGTGTTAAATATGTTCATTTATTTTTAAGAAATGTTATTAATTTATAATAGTGAAAATCGATTAATGTTTTAATAAAAGAGGTGGCACACTCACTATAAGAATCTTATAAAGTTGTTCACCTATACAATAAGGGAAAATTAGAGAGTTTATAGAAAGAATCAACAATCAAGTTTATTTCATGATCCTGTGAAGTTGTGATTAAGACCATAACATAAAAAAATTATTTCTGAAGTACTAAGATGCTTGCTATAAAATTTGGTCAGGGGAAATAATTGTTAAAACAAATTTTCAGAACCTAAAAAAGTTTTAAAATAGGTTTGGGGAACTCAAAGCCAAAATTTTAAGAATAATTTTTTTAATTACCTTCATCCATTATTAGATTTTAGATTTCCACTAAACTTTGAACATTTTATCTCTTCAATAAGAACAGAAATTTATAAGGTTCAAGTTTTAGATAATTCTTTGTACATTTGAGCGCTCCAAAACAACAAACACTATAACCTGCCACTAGTAAGCCGATCGATACTAAGGAAATATAATGACATCGATATTTTAACACAAATACTAGGTACTTTTAATTCGGTAAATGTCAATGGTTTCAACATTATTTTATCAATAAATGAGTAACTGAAGATTCAGGAAAAATAAATCCTTCTGAAGTGGGTAGCAGAAACTTATTGTATAATTCTTCTATCTGTAGAGACAAAATAACACTCCTCCTATCGACTATCATATCCAGGATAACAAGAAGTAGATCAAGGGGCTAAATCCATCTTCAAGAAAGCCAAGTTACAAATATTAAAATGACAGATTTATCTCGATAAAAAATTTACCCAGCAGATTTACCCAAAGCAATCGTTAGTAAACATTTTAAGAAATGCAAAAGTTTCATCATAATCAACTATCAATAAATACATGGCTGATGATACACTTATGTGGAAAAATTGTTGTATAAGATCATGATCAGCTCAAAGCAGTAGGAGTAAATTTTGGAACAGAAGTTTTAGCCCGAAAGCCCCCCTCCTCTTCTCTCACTATTTAAGTAAAACGACCTCCACAAATGCAAAAAAAAAAAAATAAATAAAAAAATGTTCCTTCTCTAGTTAGACAAAGAAAGTGTGAATGAAAAATGATTTGCAGTCAAGATATTAATTTTGTTTTTAAATTACTACATTATCTAAAAATTTGTTAATGTTAATTAAAATTATATTGGCTACAATGTTTTTCTTAATACTTCATGTTTGTTTAACGTTGAGAAATAGATTTCAAAAAATGAACCCTTTCGATGAAAATGTAAACACGTAAGATATTATAATCACTTGCTAATGTTAACAATAAGTATATGTCCAACCAATACGATATATTCACGTGATATTTTATTTTTTTAGGGAAGATATTTTTGTGGGCGAAATATTTTCGAAAAACGTTCCAGGAGTAGTTGCACCAGCAATATCAGAAATAAGTAATATTTTATCGATTAAATGGAAAATATTTTAGTCTTAAATATATCTTAGGTTAATTTTTTTTCCTACAGCTACTCACTTCCAACAACAAATTTCCAAGGATATAGAAGATTTGACAAAACTGATTGTTGAATCAGCACACTCATCAAAAATGTAATGTTTTGGTATGAGATATAGTTGAATAAGTTTTATTTTTGTACAAGTACCGCCTTTAATATGTTTTTAATGTTTTAGAAATCCTCTTCAAAAACTGTCAAGTCATGAATTTGAAAAATATAAAGCAATAGCAAAAATTCAGAATAGTGTGTTGTTCATGACAAATTTGATTCATAAATCCGAATGGAATGCAATAAGTGATGCATAAGAAATAACTTCAAATATTATTTAAATATTTTTGTGTAGCCAATAAGAAATTTTTGTAATAAAGAAATAAAAATATATATTGAATTTGTTCATAATGTTACCCTACATGTGTTATGAATGCTTGTATTATATCTTTTTATTTGTACTAATCTATCTAATTTTATAATGATATAGAACTGGATATAAATATTTATTAATGAAAAAATACGACTTGAAAGTAATATACAAATTCATTTATACAAGTAACAGAAGGTACTCAAATTTTATCAAGCATTTTAGGTACTTGCGATTTTAGCCCGTACTACAATGCGTCGTGTCCAGAGGGCCTCTTACTTTTTCAATATCCAATTTCTTCATATCTTGACTGTGTTAGGGGTACCTTTGAATTAGAGGTCAATATGACTGCAGATGTGATGATTATTTTGAGCAATATTAATTTATATCTATATGTAAATCTTGGACCTTGAGGGTCACTAGGTCGTACGATATTCCGGGGTTCCTCTTGGTTATAGCGGGTTATTGTGCCATTTAACTGTTTTAATATTATATTTTTTTCTTAAAAATACCTTAATTTTTATATTAAATAACTTAATATTTAATAACATTTTTTTTTCTATTACAATACTGTTTCATAAAGATAAACAGTTAGGAAACAAGTAAAGAATCATAATAAAACAAGAAATGTTTCAATGCTGAGGAAAAATACAATTTTTACAGATTACACAAATATTGAGGTTATATTATAAAGCGAATATATTATGAAATAAATTATAGAAATATTCCATTTCTAAACAACCTCATAACAAAGTAATTGGAAATAAACAATTTGTAAATAATTAATTTGTTGTTTTACGGAAATTATTATAAGTGCATTGGCTTATAATCAAATATAGTTATATATAAACGACTTTATTATAGCACTTTAAGGTCATATGTAGTAACCTAATAAGTCTTGCCGGCATTTCTTTTTGTCTTAGAGCAGAGGTCTCCAAACTACGACTCGCGGGCCATAGTACCTCCAATCCGACCTGCAAAAGTTTCTATGATTACATGGTAAAATTAAAAAAAAAAAGAAATATTTAATAACAAAATTTAGTAAATCACTCAAACACCAAGTTACCATAACATTCAATGCATTAGTTTTTTTTTTAAAGCTTATATCACCACTAAAGTGTCATTGAAGAAAAAACTTTTTTTCACCTCAATTCATGGCCCTCGTGACTTTTTGGAGATCTCAATGTGGCCCGTGGGCCAAAACGGTTGGGGACCTCTGTCTCAGAGTCCTCTTGCTGCTATGGCCTCATCTGTAGTTCCATCCATTTCTTTTCTGGTAGACCTCTCTTCCTCCTTTCCAATGCATGCTCAAGTATCCTTTTAGAACATCGGTCGTCCCACAGTTTCATAACCTGCCCAAACCAACCCTTTTTGTCTCAATGGAGTATAGGATGTTAAGGGATCCTCTACTTTTTTTTTATTTTCACTTTTAATGAATGTCATACATATACTCACTTTTTATCAAATGTAGTTAATTGTACCAATAAACTATAAAAAATGTTTTTATTACATGATCTTATTTTTTAATGCCATGACCAAGGGTCTTAGATTAATATGAAATTAACAATAATTCATGATCAAAAAAATGAAAGAATGTAACTACTTCTTCGTTTAAAGCTATATCGTAACTGAAGTAATGACGTTTATATGCACTTGTCAGGTGTGAAGGGGCCCTTCAATATATTTCCTCCAATTGTAACAACATTTACAAATATACAATTATAATAGAGTATAAATTGCTCTGATAGACTTTGCTCAGACTAATCATCATTTATATCATACTCTAAAAATGACACAATAGGTTCATGATAACTAAAATATGCGATGAATACTTTTGATTGAAATATGGTTTATGAATTCTTCATGGTATTTAATTTTGAAATAGTTAAGGCGCTATCTTTTCCCTTTTCGACTCTCTAACATAGCGTCTTGTCAATATATAATTTTGAATTATAGCTTATTACAAAGAGGATGAAATGCTAAACATTTCCCTGGTTTACAATATGCAGATACGATTTTTAGTATCTAATATATTTTAATCAAAATAAAAAAAACGCTTCATTTAATCGATTTGAACTGACTTTACTCGAAAGAGCGTTACATATACAGCTCAGTCTCACTCACTAACTACAAAAAAGTACAAAGTGTGCCTAGTTTCCCCTTAAAAAAAATCATTAGTTTTTCGCTCTTTGGTAAGCAGTGTTGCCGTTTGTACGAGGATCCTCGTATTTGTACGAGGTTATGACGTAATGTACGAGGTACGAGGATAGATCAGCCTCGTACCTTGTACATAACTTTTGCTGACGTTTGCAATGCAAGGTTATATTTTTATGAATGAAGTTTAGAATTGTTTTTTACGGTTACTTGGCTGTATTATTATTTATGTTGATATGAAATAATGAACTTCTGTTGTTTTATAGATAAATACATTGCAATTATATCTTCTTTAATTAGAGTATGATTATTATTTCCTTCATAAAACCATGATTGTATATATATGTTTTTTTTTTTAATTTTCTAGAAAATAAAATTAAAATTTTTTTTTTTAGATTTTATTCAGTATAAAATAAAATATAAGAAACCATATCCATTATTTCTTTCATAAAACTTTTTTTATAAATATGTATTTTTTAAAATGTGTTGTAAAAGAAAATTAAACAGAAATTTTTACCGTCATTTTTATCGAGCATAAAATAAAATACGAGAAAGTATATCCATTATTTCGTTCGTAATTATTATTTCCTTCATAAAACTGCAATTGTAAATATATTTTAGATAAATTGATTTTTTTTTTATTATTACCGTAATTTAAAAAAATTATGGTACTTTTCGTCTAGGGGGCCGCTACTGACTGCTACCTGCCAATGTTAATAACCTGAACACTGATAACTCCCCTAACGCAGTGATAAGCCTTCTTTTACTTCATATCTTCGTATTATTGTATTAAATTCGTATAATTGAAAGTGTAAACAGATACAAAACAAATGTAATAACAAAAAAAAATACTTTTATTTGACGACAAATATATTAATGAAATAATAAAAAGAACACTTTAAGAAGATATATACATATAAAAAATCAAAATGAAGTAATAAAAAACACATTTAAAAGAACATATTTACATAGAAAAGAAAAAATATAAAACAAAATCTGTTTTATAAAAAGATAAAACATTCATCTGTTTATCGGTAAACTCCACCAAACATCCACTGCTGAGGTAAAATTCTCCCCACATGATTTTTTCGTTTAGAAATAAGACTTTCTTTTACTTTAACCAATTTGCCAGGTTCTTAGCCTGTATAACATGTCATGGGCACAAACCTCTCTTAGACATTTGTTCCACGTTACCATAGCTCCGTAGGATAGTTTCAGCAGGTCTTTGCCCCACTTCATCGTTGTCAAGCTATGGGACCACCCATAAATCAATTTTAAAGCTGTTGAAAACGAAATCCTCAAGCCCTCCAACCATGTTCCTTTCCTTATTGAAAGTTTGGTTTCATAAGTCCTACGAAAGCATCTCCATTTGGCCTTCCTGGTTGACTTCATTCGATGACTTCGATCACACAATTTCACTTCGGCAAGTACCCCAACATTTTAAAAATATTGAAGCGCCTGTTCTTCTGAAGGCGGCAAATTCCATATTCTAAGAAGATCCATAATATAACGAAAAGAAACACAAAGGGACCACAAACTAAAAAAAATGTAAAATAAACACTAACGGGCCAAAAACTAAAAATAATGAAAAATAAACACAAACGGGCCAAAAGTAAAGAATTTAATAAGTGAACGTAATAAGGGAATAACTGAAAACTAAACAATGCAATAACTCAAAGGTTTGGCGAGATAAGAAGAGGGAGGTTATGTAACGTGACGTTAGATAAGAAGTGAGGTTTCAGTCCGGCCTGCTAGACAAAAAGTACCAAAATTATTTTCGATATTTAATCTAATAAAGTAATTAATTGAAAAATTAACTAGTATTCATAATGAACCCATCTTAAATAATGAAAAAAGTTTTTTTTTTTTTCAGTGGTCCACATTTATTTTGTGCGAAATATAAGTGTAAGCTAAATACTGAAACAATCACAATCTATTATTTTTTAATATTATAATGGATATCTCTAAAAGCATCAACGCCCCAATAATTAATTTTTATTAACCTTCCAGAACCACTAACATCCTTTCATAAAAGTAGTTGTTTTGTTTTTAGAAAAAAGAAAAAAACTTAGTCCTTCCCCCAAACTAAATCATGGATCTACTTATAAAGAGTACTTTAAGAACTTTATTTAGCTATTTTAATTTTTATATAACGTGTTCAGTAGTTTATAAAAATATATAAACTTTTTTATATATTTTATTAAGCTAATTTTACTTCTTGACCCATTAACTTAAAAAAAAAGTAATGTAAAAAGGCTTTAAAATATATATGAATGGAGGTAAAAATAAAAAATTCTGATCTAATTTTACTATAAAAAAAACAATAACACTGGGCTTATAATAGTACAAGTTATGAATGAACAAGCGTACGAGGATGTACTAGGCTTGAGTACGATATTTTGTCACAGAGCGCGCAGTAACACTATTGGTAAGAGGCAATAAAATTGCTCTAATTGTAGATCGATTCGTTTGGGAACGTGTTGTTTTTGTTTTGAAGTCAAAGACAATATTTGAAAATGTTTTACCATGTGAGTTGGATATATTTTTATGTATTATATTATTCTTCATTGTTTAATCCTTATAATAAAAATACATTTGGTTTACAGATATCGCTGGAACACGATATATTGCTGCACCCAAGGTATTTTGGGCCTCAATTACATGAAACAGTTAAACAAAAATTGTATACTGAAGTTGAAGGCACCTGTACTGGCAAGTATGTTTTCATGGTTCTATATGTACGTTAAATTTATTTACACAAAACTTGGTACCAAAGTACTATAGTCACATGGTGACTTTTTCTCTCTTGTAGAGATTTGTATTAAATGTGATTTAAGTGATCTTATTAACAAGATTCTTCTTCTTTTTTTCTCATAGTTTCATTAGTTTTACCTATTTTGTCTGTTGTCTTTTCAGGTATGGCTTTGTCATTGCTGTCACCAACATCGATAACATTGGTGCTGGCGTCATTCAGCCTGGACAAGGATTTGTAGTTTATCCAGTGAAGTATAAAGCCATTGTATTTAGACCTTTCAAAGGAGAAGTAGTAGATGCTATTGTCACCCAAGTCAACAAGGTATTATTTTCAATAGGTTTTGTGTATAACATGAAAGAATATATTCTTTCAATTAGTTATGGGTACTAGTTCACATGAGTTCCACACGGATTATGCATGGTTCACTATCACTTGTTCACGGAGTCTCGAAAATAGCCGAATGTTATTGCCTTTTATGTCAGCTATTGGCCCCACCACACAATCCCTTTTCATGCATTTTTGAAAAACCCACATATTCCGATCATAGAACATCCTTATTAATAAATCATGTATTTAAGAATTTGTTAATCATTAATTTTTATTTTAAACATAATTACTACGAAAGAAAAATAAAGAAAATATATAAAATGATTTTAGGTAGACTTCTAGGAATGTAATTTTATTGACTCGTGCTTACATGTAGTTGCTGTAAATATGTATATATTATCTTTTATAACTGTGTATAAAAGAATTTTTTTTATCATTTGGATAATAAATAATTTGAAGTTATCTATTATCCTTTTATTCGTTATTCTTATTCATAAATAATAGATGATTCAGAATATCTGTAACTAATGAATAACCAAGAAATTATCTGTAAAAACCCATCGATTAACAGATAAAATGTATCCATTAATAGTTATCTAGATTAATATTCATTAAAATTATGCTTAATCCCAAAGTGACCCATAGCTCTGCTTTGTTGAATTATACTGTTAACATATAATTTATTTTATCATTTTAAACACTATTATTTTTATTTGAAGTGTAATTATTATTATTCGTAGTTATTTTGCTTAATTATCCGAAAACAAGGACTTATAGTAGTCATTTGTAAAAAAAAAAATACATATGTGTTTATTTTCAAGGAATTAACATATTGGGGAAACAACTGATGAAGAATATCCAATAATGCCGAGATAATGAATAATGGAAATCATCAATAACAAAAATAAATATCGTGAAATAACATATAGAGATGTAATAACTAAAGGTTTTTTTATCTATTACTATTTATTTTCCTCAGCTGTTTAATATATGTACAAGTTTGATGATTTAGATTACATGATGTCGAATACTGTCAATTGAACATAGTTAAGGATATAGAAGTACTTAAATGGTGAAAAAGTTAATAGTAACTGATTTAAGAGATTCATTCTCTTTCGGATAAATCTTAACGCATTCGATACCCCATGAACAAGTGTGACCGAATTGATTGCGAACAATGCGTAATCGGTGCAGAATTGATGTGAACCAGTACCTAGTTACGTGTGTATATAAGGAATGTTGTCATGTTAACAACACTTTGGAAAAAAGTTGTGTGAAATAAACAAGTTTAAGAGACTGATATATTGATTAACATATTTTGTTGAGTAATTGCGCAACATATTAGACTTATTAATGTTGTACTATGCTAATGTAGGCTATCTTCCCTATCTATTTAAGGTTCCCTAACTCATTTTATGGCCATTGGTTGATTTAATTTATATTCCAATAATTATTATATAACTTTTTGTAGCACTAATGATATGGCAAATCAAAATGGAATTTTGGCGAACATTTCAATTGAAATGGTTATAGTTTTGTGTCATTGATTTTTTTAACTTTAAGTATTTTTGAACATAAAACAGATTCCGAAAGCATGTTGACTATAGAAACAAAAAGAAAAAAACAGATTTATATATGTACTATTAAATTCTAATTTAAACCATTTCAATCAAGGTATCCACAAAAATTCTATTTTGGAGTTGTTCCATTATTCCTGCTGGAAGCACCTTGTTTCTCTTTATTCTTTCTCTAAATTTCTTCACAAATGGATTATGATCTTACAAGGTCATCTGAAAGTTCTTATAACATAAACATGATCTGTTTCATTTCTCCTAATAAGTGTAGCCCAAGCCTGTTCCGTATAGTAAGATCTTGATGATCTCTTACATAACTGAAATAACTATATTAATTGAGTTATATTGAAAAAACAAAACAAATTACAGTAAAAATCTCACATACAAATTCTTTGCTACCTTCCTATACCAAGCCATTAGAACACGGCGACCCACCTATATTCTACAGATCCTACAATTCAAACGCTCCTTTCAATCCCGTCCCACCAGATCCCGTGCGTCCGACCTCTATTCTCCTCCTCACCGAACTGCTGCGTTTGATAAATCCTTTTTAATTCAGGTTGTCTCGCTCTGGAACTCTATACCCTCAGATATTCGACACGCAAAATCATTATCCACTTTCAAATCTCTCTTCTTCAAACACCTACTCCATTCCCAATTCGATTGATCACGAAATGCACTTAAAAATCTAAGCTGTAAGAATTTCAAAGTACTCCCAGATACTCTGATTATTTTGTGATTCATTGATACCTTGTTTACTAAATTACTTTCTTTGTTTATTTTATATTTATACACGTTTTTATATCTTTTTATTATCTATAATTTTATTGTAATCATCTTGTAAATATTTAATTGTATTTTATGGACACACCAGAATATTAATACATATTCTGCATTTGTAACTTGTGCTAAAGGGACACTAGTCCCAGAATAATAAAATTATTTTCATTCATTCATTCATAAATATCTATGAAAGCTCCTTATAATATTTTATTGAAATGAACGATGATAATTTGTTAGATCACTTCATAGAATTACCAAAACTATTTAGAATGTTTTATTGAAATAAAAAAATTGAAAATTACAATTATAGCTTAAAAATAAAAATGAAAACTGAACATTAATGTTTTGTATAAAAAAGTTAAACTGTCTCAAATATATTTTTGAAAAATGTTCTTAAATTTTAGTAGTAAAATAGATTTAATTTTTTTTAGATTTTAAAAAAGTTTCATTACATTATCTTACAGTCTTTTTAGTGTTAATATGTAAGAAGCAGAATTGCCAATTTCCTTTATTTTGTATATTGTTTCACCATATTGCATGGCAGAAGTTATAAATAACCAATAATTTGATATGAGAAGGAGTTAATTAGGAGAATATATTCTCCTTTATTTTTATTTGTATTCCTACTTATTTTCAATTTTTTTGTATCTTCTACATATATAATACTTAATATTTTAACTACAATGTCACCCACTATATCTCTGATATCATCTTTTTATTTCTGTATCTGACAACTTCCTCTTATTTTATATCTATTTATATTTATTTTTTATTTTTAACATGTTTTGTATCTTTTGTAGCCCTGAAAACAACCTGCAAAGTGGGTCAAAACGTTGGCAAAAATTAAATAATTACTATATTTTAATTTAGTATTTATTTGACCGCATCCCCCAATTAACTCCTTCTCATATTATATCAACGGTCAACCATCTCTACATCATTATCAATAATTTTATAATTTAATTTAATAAGGTATATTTATTTATTTAATTGACAATTTTATGTATTTTAGGTTGGAATGTTTGCAGAAATTGGACCTTTGTCATGTTTCATATCACATCACGTAAGTTGTTTAATTTTTATAAATTCTTGTCATAGTTAAATTGTTTCTGTTTAGTAAAAATTCTCTTGAAGTCATCTGTATTTATCACTACTGGTATTATAGTTTTTATAAATATACAATCATATAATCCTTCTGTTTAATGAATTAAATGACTACATACATATTATTTTTTTAACCATAGTATTTATTATGTTTATGTTGTTTATCTCTCATTAAACATGTTTTTTTTAAGAATATAAATAATTAAAAGTTAAACCTTAACAGTAAACGAGTACCAGCAAAACTTAGTTAATAAAAAGTTTCTCAGGTCTTTTATTTTAAACACTTCTTTCAAATCTTTTTTTAAAAGTTCCATCAAAGTTTATACTTCTGCAAGAAACTAATAGTCTGCGGTATAAACCCTATTTTGTCAAATTATTAACATCTGTTTAAAAATTTGTAAATGGCTTCATCTTTATGTAACTTACAACTTTTTTATTTTCAAATATTCTCAGAAATGGAGCGTTTTATCATTTTATTGATTAATTTAATGAGTTACTAAAAATTGATTAATCCACATTTGCTTTCCGCTTGAATCGTAAGAAAATATGATCACTAGGTTGAGAAAAAATTTGGTCTACCCAAAATATTAAATATTGTCCTATATAACTTTGTCACTTTGACATGTTACTGACGGAGGTCATGCCAAACGGCCCAGTATTTTTGTAGGTCTTCTTTTTTCTGGGTCATGTGATCAAATTATCTTACAATTCAAGTGAGAAGCAAGTGGCTGTTAATGATATGGTATTTATAACTGTCTACTAATTTTATTGGCTTCCCATCTTATGTCCACTTTAATTCCCTATTCATTGTGCTATTCCTTTTTTGGACCTATTATTATTTTTTATTTGTCCAGGGTAATTTCCAGGCTTCTTATTTAACAATAGATCTCTCACCTATTTATTATCTTCTTGAAATATTAACATATTAGAAATGAGAACTACATCCATAAGCATATTAACATTCTTACCACTATTTTGTATTCCACCTCCAACCCATTCCACTAAATCATTAATAAAAATGAAGCAGGATAAGAAAGCAGTCCATATGTGTACATATTTGTATAAACTAATAAAATGATATTTTCTGACTTTTTGTTATATATATGTTAATGTACATATTTAAAAATTTGTGAAATAAATGTATATATTAATTCATGATTATAATGAAACATTTTTTTTTTCTAGTCAATTCCAGCTGATATGGAATTCTGTCCTAATGAAACGCCACCTTGCTATCGTTCCAAAGATGAGGTAATTTAGAGTTGGTTGTGAATAATACATTTTTCTTTTCTTTTTTAATGCTTTTTATTAAACGAAAAATTATCATTCAATTGTAGGACGTTGTGATAACAGCAGAAGATGTTATAAGATGTAAAATAGTCGGGACTAGAGTTGATGCATCTGGAATTGTAAGTAACAAATTATTATAATTTTTTTAAAATTTCTTTCATAAAACTCATTGAAATAACAATTTTTTATTTTGTTTTCAGTTTGCAATTGGCACTCTTATGGATGATTACTTAGGTATGTAATAAAATTAAATAAACAGTTTCAGCTATTTTAAAACTTATTCTGATATTATTATTATTATTTATTAATTTCTTTTATTTTTTTAAGGTTTAATTGGAAGTTAAAACTTAAACTTCAAGAAATCATTTTTCATTCAAGACATTTTCAAGAAAAAAATTATTTGTACATTTATCATGTTTTTTAAATGTAAAATATAAGCCATAATAAGTATTTTACATCATTGATTGTATTATTTTTTATTAATAAAGATATTTAATAAAAAATTGTTAATTTTGATATTTCCCTTTTGAAAGTCAGAATTATGACTTGTATTGCACTGCAATAATCCAGAAAACATCGATTTACTTATTTATGTTTTGTGAAAATAAAGTTATATAGCTTTTTTTTATTTAAAAGTTTTAATAAAGATAATATGAAATGAACAGTTATCCATAAAGATAATTATTTCTGTAAGGTAACAGCTGTTATACTTTTCCCGCGTATTTCGTTTTGCACGGTTGGTCAGAATGGGGATCATCAACAAAACTACGGAGTTGTGTGTCCTTGTTGTAGAAAGTGGTTTTGTTTTAGCCAGCCTCAAAGATCCCCGTGTGTTATTCAGTTAGTATTATCATATTCGAATGGATATTTAATATGGTAAGGTCACACTTTCCCGGTAAACCATCTAAACATTTTAACCGACGTAAAGTATCCGCCGTAAACACAGATGAAAATGAAGGGACTAAAGAGGCAGAAGATGTTTATCGAAGATTGTCAGTTTTTAATATGCTTTTTTCTACAGAAGATGAGGTGATTACACTAATTTCATATATTACCATTTACTTTATATCTATTTCGTTATATGTAAACCGTAACATAACCTGTCCAGCTAACCTTACCCTTTAAATTTGATAATTTGTCATTTTTACAGGATAATTCGTTTCATGGATTCAGCCCACATGAAATAGATGGAAAAACCAATAGTAGCCCTCAAAAGGTTATCCGTGGAAAACGAAAATTAAAAAAAATAAATGTATCCAACTCTCCTAGAAAGTCTAACAATGGGATCCCTTCTATTGACAAACCAATTTTAGAAAAACCTGAGACCTCTATAGAAAATCCTGAGGTTCATGATTTAGGAAGTGAAAAATTAGTTTCTTGTGATTCAGTGAGGAAAAGTGATGTAAAAAAGTTTGAAGTGTGTGATAAAATCGAAAACAAAGATGATTTTCCATCTAATCCAACTTTATCTGGTAAATTTGTGCTTCCATCTAGAAGTGCCCATTCTTCTAGGGTTATCAAGCCGAATAAGAGATTTTTACAAACTGATGTTTCCATGGTTCCTTGTAAGAGATCTAGGTTAAGCTCAAAGCATGATTTAGATGGTGATAAAAATGTAGATGCTTTGTCTAATCCTAATATTCAGTTGGACAATAATGGGCTGTCAACATTAACTATGTGTGGTAAGACATTAAAGAAGTTGACTTCTTATAGTTCAACTAATTCTCCGGTGAAGTTTATTTTAAGAAAGCCTAGATTAAAGATAAAGTCTCAACCTTTGTCAACTATGGGAGGACCATTTACTTCACCTGGAGCCAACAGTTTAAGTTTACAAAGTAAGTTTTTATTATTAAATTATTTTTAAATTTGTATAACGATTAGTATGTTTATTGATTTTTGCTTGTTAATGTTTAAGATCAGCGTCTGACGAAAGTATGCTGTGGTGTCTGCGGTTGCTTTCGAACTTACAGGTTTTTCAAACAAGCCAGGAAATTTGGTATATTTTCTTGTGAACCGTGTAGGAGATTTATTTTAAAAATAATAAGATTGGAAAGAGAAAAATTGTTAAAAACTCTCGTCTGCAGTTCTGGAACAGGTTAGTAAATTTATTTTTTGTAGTATAAGTGCTGTCATGTGGCTCAAGATCACATGATCACACTGTTCCTTGAATGATGAAGCTATGTTATTTCTCATTATACAGGTTAGTTTACATATCCAGCAGATACAAATTAGATTAAATAAATTTGTCTAATGATCTAAATACAAAAAAGTTTCTTAACAATTTTTATTAGAACTTAAACATATTTATAAATTTCTATTTCCCAGAAGTGAATGCAAGTATAATTTAAAGATTTTATTATTTTTCTATGATTTCGTTCTTTGTATTTATTAATTAGTATTGGTGCATGATTAAGTTGTTTGTTAGGTAGTTTTAACTTTAAATTTCATTCCCTCAATTTAATCACTTTTATTTTAATTTAATTCCTTCATTCATAATTATTGTTATTGTGCTTAATAATTTTAATAGGATTAGTGATTTTGTTAGGTTGAGAATATAAAACTGTAGTTATTTCGATTTCTGGTATTTAACACAACTGTAACGTTTGTGATTAGTCAGTTCATGCAGTTATTTATTAACAGAAAGATTTGTACATCGGTTGTCTCTGTTTACAATTTTAAACATTATTGTCTAGTTTTGACATTCTGCAAACAGTGTGATCAAAGTGATCTTGGAGTACCTGTCACCAGATGTGACACTTATGTATTATTATTATTTTTTATCTATCTTAGATAAAAACAAAAAAATTAAACTAGAATTTTTCATCTGTTAAGATAATTGTTAAATGAGCAAGACTAGTTATTTTCATTGTTAGTCTGTAGTTATGTATTCCATGATTTAATTTAGCTAGTGACATTTATATAATTAAGTAAATACATTACCTGTAGTTGTATTTAATTTCGATTTATTATAGATTGTGGTTCTCTTATTTACTAGAAATCTAGATATCAAAATCTCATGATATTTATTATATATTTTTAGGTTATAGATGTGTTTTACTTTATGCAGGCAATTTCTTGTTAAATTACTTTAAGTACTTAGCAGAAAATGCAAGTTTTGTCGGTTCAAGATAGATTAAAAAATTAAAATAAAATCTGGTGCGATGCGTGCATCACACAACGTTCAATTACCACCCTCTTCTTAGCAGAAATAAGTATTTTTAGACAAATGGGAAGTGGAAGTAAAAATTATAAACACTATATTGATTTATATTTCATTGTGTTTGGTTTTAAAGTACCCTTATCAAATTTTAATATTTATATCACTGTAATCTATACAATTGCATATTAAATAATAGAAACTATGAAAACCGCATATATATATTTACATAATACTGTCGGAGTCCGGGTGCTCTCTTATTCCTTTGGTTCCTCAGTTACAACTATTCTCCGTTAAGATCTCATTTCTCCTTCAGTTAATTATCAAATTCTTTCATATTAATAAAAAAAATTTAAGATACTTTAGGGGAAGGTAATGTTGAAAATTATCCATTTAAGCCCTGTTAGAAAACATCAATCAGAATAAAACCTTAATTTTATTTAAAACTGCTTAATTTTACACTGATATAATGAATTTAATCAAAATCGTTTGAGCTGTTTTTGAGATAATCGTAGAAATGTGTTTAATCCATGATATAAAGTGTCACTTCCTGTCACTGGTGAAAAAATTGCTGTAACATCCCTAGCATATAAAAATCTTAAATATGCAATTTCACTCAGCCTTAAGTTAATAAAAGTTTCGTATCTGGCAGTATTTTAATTTATTTTGGGGATCTAAAATGGACTGATAGTGTTTTACTTAATATATTATTATTATTTTTTTTTTAGGAAACTGTCCTATCCGCCAGAGCACATTAATAACTCAACCCTTTTCAAACGACACTGCTGATGTATCGTCCAGGGATGAACCATCACGATGTGAAGCATGCTGGTTAAATTTGTGCTTACGTTCCTTTCATATGCCTCAAAGGCTTTCTAAAAGGCTATATTCTTACTTACCCACACAAATTACTCAGAAATCCTTGTTATCATTTGACAAATGTCCTGTAAGTTATTTTGTTATTACATGTATTTAATATAAAATATGTTATTGATGTTTATTATATTTTTTTTAAAATTTTTAATCAACTATAGGTCTCAGACTGGAGAGATGGTAAAAAAACTTTGGACGTTGCTTTAGTTGATGAGAAACTGCCTACAACTAGTAATGAGCAAGGAAGATTACCTCGGAAAAATAAGGTTTTGAGAGAAAATATCAACATTAGACGTGGCTCGAACACATCTCTTCGTTTATCTAGTCATAGTATGTATTTAATTGAGTTATATTGAAGAAGCTTTTAATTTTTAATGGCCAATCATCATGACTTTTTTCTCCTGTTTGATCTGTTGTTAGGTTTATAGTTATATCTGAGAAAATTGATCCAAGGAAAAAGTTATTAACATTTTGTTTTCTATTGAATATTTAATAGTTGACCGTTGCATTATAAAGGAAGGAGATGGTCTGGGTTGCCGGTCATAAATAGGCTAAATAGTGGCAAAACTATTTTATTTTATAGTTTTGCCACTATTTGGCCTATTTATGAACACCACCATTTGGATTTTCTGCAAAGGATGTAAATTTTCTAAACTAAAATTTTTTATTCAAACTCTTTCTTGGTCTTTATCATCTTCTTCCATATAAAGTTGAACTCCTATATTTGAAACCTGAAAGTCCTTAGAAAATATTTTAACTTATGAAAATATTATTATTTTTTTTTAAGAGTTAAGAAGTTATTAAACCCCATATTTGTGGGTATTAAAAACTTATAACTTATTTTTTTTATAATATGAAAAACGGACTTTTGTATAATAGCATGTTGGTCATCATTTCGTGGCGCATCAACTTGGTTACAGTTCTTGGCCTCCTCCAGTCGTCACAGTTTTTGTGCCAGTGCCATCCAGTTTTTTATTCCCGGAATGGTGTGAGTATCTCCTCCCGCCGCACCTTCTGACTCCCTAAACTTTGGTCTTCCTCATCTTCTGGTTCCACCGATTGGCTATGTCAATATTTCAGCCATTTCTCAATCTGCCATCCTAAAAATATATCTAAAGCACTGCATTTTCATTGTTTTCACCTCAGCTTCCCTGAGTGTACAATGTACAGTGCCTGGTTCGCTCATCGTTTCCATTCTTTGCCAACTTTTACACCTCTAATTACACGAATGAGGACTTTCTTGAAGTAAAAACTTATTTAGGTGCATTTTGCACTTTTTTGTGGAGAGTTAATTAGATTGAATCATCAGATTTCTGAGGTGTTAACGCTCGGCTAAAGAATAATTGGAATGATTTTACATATGTACAAAATATTTCAAAAACTAAAAATCGGACCTGCATATTGTAAGTAAATGAATTGTTCAGCATTTCATCCTCTGTCACAGGCTATTGTTCAACATTGTATGCCCCGCCAGAGAGGTAATAAGGGAAAAATATAGTGTTAAAAACCAAATCATAACGAATTTCATACTGAAATAGTGGACTATCTATGATCATCACGTATTTCAGTTACCATAAATCTATTGTTCCATTTTTACAGTATGATACTGACTTAGTATCAGTCGACAGAGTAATTTAAACACAATCGTAATTATATATATATTGTAAATATAGGACACAAGTGAATATATATGTTTCATACTACTAATTCCGCATTGTTGATGTTTTCACTTCTATCATGTGATCTTAAGCACACATTGAAATTTATTTTTTTTTTTAACGATCAGAAGTTGCACCTCTAAATACACGAAGGAGGACTTTTTTTTTTAAAGATAAGAAGTTCCTTTTCAGCGACCTTTGAAGTTGACAGCACTCCAATCCATCCGAAAGTATCCGCCTGCTTAGCTGTTTGTTCAACAAATCAGCTCAATCCAAAGTAGCATTTGTTGGCCTCTGTGATCATTTTTCTTATTTCAATATTGGGTTTATTTTCCTGAGTAACCATTTCCTAGATAGGTAAACTCGAAAACTTTTCAAATTTATGAAGCCCAAGAGTAACTAACTTTTCTGGTTCGAGAATTTTTTTTGTTACCACGTACTTAGACTCATTCATTTTTGAGAAAATTATTAGTCATGTTTGTTGATACTTTAAGCATAAGAAATAAAACTGTTTTATAAATAAAGATTTAACTATATAATAGTTGATTGAAACTTACTAACCTATTATGAATTATTACAAAAAGAAAAACTAAAATAGTTAAGAATAATTTATTTTTTATTGAACAGGAGGTCGAGGGCACAACGGCAGGGATGAAGACACTAGCCGCAGGGTTAAGGCAAGGCAGAAATTGCCACTCACAGGGCCGCGGGTGAAGCATGTCTGTCGTAGTGCCAGCCTGGTGCTGGGACAGCCAACGGCTACTTTTTTGCCTGCTGGCCAGCAACAGTCTTCAACTGGTAATTATTACCTTTTTAATTTAAGCATTTTATTTATATTTATGCTGATTAACTCCTGTTAATCATAGATCCTAAATAATAATAGATCACGTCACATGAAGATTCCTAGATAACAATACATGTTAGGTTACTTAGCATTCAGTGTTGTCCCCTACAAGCTCATTAAACACTGACTGCATATCCTGACTATTTTTCATCGTTAAAATTTTAGCAGTCTAGAATTCATATAAGTTATGGATGGCTGATCTCATGTATTCCACCTATATGAATCTGGCCTTCTTCCCTGTTCCATCAACATGGTGGAGTTGTACTGGGATGCTGAAAAAAATGATCTAATCAGGAAAGGGTTGGACGAGATGAGAGCAGAAAGTTGATAAAAATTAAATGATCATGCGGTTCGGTCTCGATAATCTGTTTCTGTAATAATCCGAACAAGAAAGAAAATACGTTAAAGTTGACTGACGTGAGATGAAATGGAAATGGTTCTCTTTCTCAGTACATATTACTGTAATTGCTTCGTTTGGTAGTGTTGAAATTGTACTGTGGTGTTTCTAAGAGGAAAACATTAAACCTAGGCTGTCAACCAGAAGTTGAAGAATCTATTTATATGTGGGTTTTGTAGAAGATATAAGGATATCCGATTGGCTGAAAAGTCAAAGTTTTTCTTATATAATTTTTTTAAAAAGGATGGCAAAAGATAGGCTTGATAATTTAAAAAGCAGTATTTTAATTTTCATTTCATTGGAAAATTTCTTTATACCCATTTTATTTTTTACTATAGATAAGTCATAGAAACTCCATAAAGGCATTTAATACTTGCTTGGAGTGGGCGAATGGATATGGCCATGATTACCGAAGCTGGATACTTTTAAATAATTTCTATTGAAATATGTAATGTTTTAAATGTGATTGTAAATTGTAAAAAAGTTTTTAGACTTGAAAATGGCTCGAGCCAAAACATTGTAATTAGATGTGATGTCATTATGTTGACAAAATTTTAAAAATTGGTGTAAAATTGGCTGATAATAAATAAACTTGTATATTATATTTTTTATTTAAAATACTGATTTTTTTTTTTTTTACTCAAATCATTTTGTAGTAAATTTTCTTTCATGAATAATAAATTAATTTAGTTATAAATTATACATTTTAAATATTTGTCTTCCTAGGCATATCGATTAGGGAAAACTATCATTAAATAGAGAAAAGGCAGTGAATTTCACTTTAACTGTCTGATAGCCACCTAGTTAACACTTACATTTTATGTTTTGGATTTTGAGGACCAAATTTGGTTTCATGTTTTTAATCAAATTCATGTGTCGATCTTATTACCTACTTCCATTAATTGAAGTTAGATGAAATCATCAGGAATTTTGTGGATTGGTAACTTAATGGTTCCAATCCTCGGTGGATATCCCTCTCTTGGATCTCCTCTAGAGAGGTTCTTCTTTAATTTGTATACATTATATAATTTATAATTATATTACATTATGATTCATTTTGTTAGGATCTCAAAATGGACCAGATGTCTTAGGGACAGGAGAAAATCAAGAAATTAGGTAATAACTTTTTTTTTATTTTTTACGTTTGATGAGTTCTCAAACAAATTAATTTATTTTATTTTATTTTTCATTTTCAGGTCTGTGGAAAATGATGCAAATGATAACTTGTTTGGAGAAAAAATGAGGAAAATATCTGATGAAGAGTATGCTTTAAGCAATAATACCAGAGCCGATTATCCTCCTGTAGTACGTAAATTAAGATTTACCGATTATTATCTATCAGTCTAAAAATATCTATTACTATTTTATTCTATCCTTTTTTTTTTTTAGGCAAGAATGCTTCAGGATTTAGGACGTGCTAATTGCGAACTTTTAGATGGAATGGAAAATCATGAGTTGGAAAAACAAAATGCGCGCGTATCGATAGATTTTTGGGAGAGTTATGATCCAGAGGAGGTGTCTCAAATGGGTTTTCCGCTTATAGGCTACAATCCTCTAAAACTAAGAGCTCTCTGTTTTCTCTGCGGGAGCGCAGGGCATGAAAAGGTAAGAGGGGAATAACATGTCATTCGCTTTAAAGAAGTAGATTTCTCTTAACACAGTTTGACTTGACAAATAAATGTGTATAGCTTAGTACTTTCAGTGAAGCAATGTGGCTCATTATTTTATTTATGGATGGAATCCTTCTTTTCTTTCATTCAAGATTTTATCCATTGTAGCTTGTATTATTGATATAGCTTGAATTTGTTTTATTATTATGTACATTAATTTTTTTAATCTACAAAAAATAATTAACCCGTCTCCTTCCTCAAAAATTTAGTCTTTACTTTTCAAGATGCCCTGAATCCTTAATTCGAATTAAAAAGTATGTGTCGATAGCTTTTCTCCGAGGCTTGTGGAATAATTTTTTCTTCTAATTTGGCTCCTAGTTCTGACAAGATGGTTCTTAAAATAAAACTTTACCATCTAACATTTTGTTTTAAGATGTCAGTGGATTGGGAGTGTAATAAATCCCTGTCTTGGCCATTTTTGAAGATAGAGAATAATACAAAGTTTATTATAATACACTAAAATAAAAAAATTATTGATAATATTTCAGTAGTTACAATTTTATTTTAATTTATTATTGTATATTTGAAAAAATATTTCTAATGGGCATAATATTTACATTAATTTAATATCCTATATATTATTTCTCAAAGGTGTTTTTTTGTCGGTACACCATAACTTCGTCAATTCATCATCAAATCCAATGATTGATGACTCATTTTGAAGATATTCTTCTCCTTCACATGCAAAAAATAGTCTTATTCCCCTAAAATTTCTGTAAAAAAAAGCTATGAAGGAAAAGAAACTTTAATTGTGAATAACTTAAAAAGTATGCATTTTTTTTCTCGATTGTACCCATGATAATTAGAGAGATTAATAAATTACCAACAAAACAAAAAAAAAAATCGGACAATTATTAACAAAGATACAGTTCATTAGTTTTGGTGTACATAATAATGTCTTCCTGTTTAAAGATATTGCATTTAGGAGTAGAATAGTCTACTACACTTTTTTTCCTGGCTATTAACTTTATAATTTCTTAAAGGCATTTGGTTGTTCTTACATTTTATTTTTTTTTAATAATTTAGAAAATCCCATGACCGGCTCATTAATTTGTCTAAATTACTTTCATTATCTTATCAGTCAGCGTTTAAAAATAGATCCTAGCAAAGCAATTTGTACAAATAGTTTTGCTTATTATGTTTAATGAAATATTGTGATCGACTAAGAAAAAAATATTAATTCCTTTCTTACATAATACATAGTTATTTCCATATTGTTTTGCTTTTTTTTTTTCACTAAACAAAATTTTCTGTGAATTATTCGCATGGGCCAACTAGTTAATCTTAATTTAATAATATTAAATTTGATATATTAATTTAATAATTAATACAGCTATTTAATTATCTGTTTCTAATCAGTAGTTAAATTTCTTGAATCTTGAGATAAATATTCTTCACTAATAAATTATTCTTCACAAATTAGTTTCTCACGATTGAACTCCTTTTTTAAAAATATAGTTCCACAATTTTTAATTAGGTATGAACTCTACTTCAATAATTTCAATATTATAACTAATGCCTGGATTTATATACAAATGTACATTTTTTACAAAAATATGATTCAATGTCGGTATAAAACTATTGTGCACACATCAGATTTTTTTTTTAATTGCGTTAATGGTTCAATATATTATCTGTATTACTTACTTTCATTATTCTGTTGCATATAATCGTACTTTTGTTTGTATTTTATATTGCTGATTATCGTACTTATGAAATAATATGTGACTTATTTCAATGGTTTTTGTTTTATATTAATCTGATCCTTAACTTATAGAGAGAAATACTTTATTTAAAGCAGTACTGCCCTAGTACATAGGGTTGCTCGATACACAGCATATTCATCAATCCTTTCTTTTTTGGACATACAAATTATATACAAATTCTTTTTCATATTACACAGCACAAACTATATCAATACTGCAATAGACTAATACATATAATTACAATTATACAATTTATTATATATACATATTTCGGTGAAACCGATACAAGACAATTTCTAAAATTTATAGGGCAAAAAAAAAATATATATATATATATAGTATTCGAATGCCAAAGTTTTAACACCAGAAAATTAGAACGCACACACAGCAAGTAACATAGTCCTATGAACATAGACAAAAAGATATGGTCACTTAAATAATTTAAAATTGAATAAATAAATAAAACAAACACAACACTGTAAGCTTCTTATAATGTTTCCAATTATTTGGAAGAATATTTGTATCCTTTTATGTTGAATATCTTAAGTCAATTTAGATTGTAATTTTTTGTTTTAATTTGGTTGCAGATGGTGCACTGCTCGAGTTGCTGTGAGCCTTACCACATGTTCTGCGTCTCTAACATTCTCACGCCATCTGTGAAGCCTTCTGGCGACTGGTGGCGCATCGATTGGCTCTGCCCCAAGTGTACGCCGTGCGAGGCATGTATGAAAACTGGAGGGGTCCAATTGTCCTGTTCTCACTGCCACAAGTCGTATCACTCGGTCTGCATATCCACAGTTAGGGCCAACATGTCTGACAGTGCTTGGGTAAATATATTTCTGATCTATATAAATAAAATAAAGGTTTTGTCTGTACATTGAATAGAATCAACCCGTTTCATGATATCTTTCCGTTCCATACATTGCAGACACCAAATCCACTTTTAAAAGACTTTTTGTCCCCTTCCCGAGCCTGATGTTTACATTTTTAGGAATAAACAAATGGATTAGCCGGAAATCAGGAAAAAAAAATTCCCAAAAATTTCACCTCGCCTTGCACAATATTCAAATCAAGTTCTAATTTTACACGGATGTAAGTGACTCAATGTCCAATGTTATTTTGGTTATTTTGACAACGATAAATTCAGGAGAGTTTAAAGAAGTGGAGAGACTACAACTCTTTTTGATTATTTTAATCGACTTCACAATCTCCTCGCTTCACCATAAATGAAAATTAAACACTTGACAAATTTTAATGGATCGGTGGTCAGTTTAGCTGCGTAGTATCTTAACAAATAGCCTAATAACAAAGTTTTTGTTATGACTATTGCTAAACCTTCACTTCCACAAGCCCCACCATAAAAAATTTCAAAACCTCCTCCCTACCCAATTTTTTATGAAATTGAATTTGGAACCTCCTCCCCCATAGTACAAAAACCATCTCAAAAAAATGTTCTCAAATTTTAACTATGCACCCGTCAACGACGGCTATATCAGCTAGTACTTCTATATTTAATTCATTTCAATTTGTTTTTTTGCTAATAGGTGTGTCCTTCTTGTTTATTTTGTAAAAGCTGTAATGATACATCTGTTCATGTATTCGTTGGCAATATGCCACTTTGCAAAGCTTGCTTCAAACTTCGGAAGAAAGGAAATTTCTGTCCTCTGTGTCAGTGTTGTTATGACGATAATGACTATAACACAAAGGTAATACATTATCATACAATATTTAATATAAGATATATGAGTTATAAATGTTTGTTATTTTTTCATCATTTAATTTTTTTTTTTTCATTTTGTAGATGATGGAATGTGCAGAGTGTAAATGTTGGATTCATGCCAAGTGTGAAGGAATTTCTAATGAAAAGTACCAAATTTTAAGTTACCTCCCGTCAACGGTAGAATTCATCTGCAAGTAAATAACTTCTGTTTGTTTTGTTTTAATGATTTTTTGTTGATAACATGATATTTAACTATAAATTTTATATTATTATAGGTTATGTTGCAAGAAACCTCCTGCACCATGGTTGTTAGCAGTGGATGCTGAGCTTAAGGCAGGCTACCTCAATGTAATTAAAATATTAAGTAAAAACAGAAACGCCTGTGCCATGTTAAAAGCGAGCCCCAAAAAACAGCGTGTATGCACCTGCTTAAACAAGAACACAAATCCAATCCATTTACAGGATTTAATGAGCGGTTCAGAATCACTTCAGATCGAGTCAAGCATTAGCCCTGAGCGTGATATCAAGACTCCAGATCTTGGTCTCCTCACGCCAAAGCTTACCAAAGATGATGAAGAAAGTTTGAAGACAGTCAAGTCCGATTTTCTCAATCTAGTCACCGAAGAAAAAGAAGTGCAGAGAAATTGTTCTTCTGATAAGGAAATGACAAAAAAATCTTTTCTTCAAGATACTGTTAATAACGACCGAACTCGTTTGCTAAGTATTGCCTATGACAGATTAGTTCAATCGAATGATCTGACTATGCGTGAAAAATTACTTGTCAAAGAAAACATTTTAGCGAAGGATAAAACAATTATTGCTGATGAAAAGGTCTGCACGTGTAAGATTTTAGATTGCCCCGTTCAGACGTTAAATTTATTAACAATAAAAAACAAAGCTGCTGCTGATGAATACCGTTCTGTTTTGGAATTTCATCAAGACATGGAATCGGTTATTAATGAAATTGGAAAACAGGACTTAACGGATACTTACAATAGATGCTTAAAACAAATATTTCCTTGGTTTGATTCTAGCGATTCCGGTATGAATGATTCAGTAATATCCGGAGTCGGAACACCAAAGAAAAGCAGTTTTACTGAAAGTAATAAGCACAATAACAAACTAAATACAAACCAAGAGGAGTACCCTGCTTTGAAGGGCTTATTGAATTTCGAACCCAACTATTATTACATTGGTTCCAATGTTGAGGATACTCGACACTGCTTGTTTTGCAAAGGAGTCGGTGAAGGTATGCCTATGAAAGAGGGCCGTTTGCTCTATTGTGGGCAGAATGATTGGGTACATACCAACTGTGCTATGTGGTCAAGTGAAGTATTCGAAGAGATTGATGGCTCTCTGCAAAATGTACACAGTGCTATTTCACGTGCTCGATTGATTCGGTGCTACGAATGTGGTAAGAAAGGTGCTAGTTTAGGTTGCTGTGCTAAATCCTGTCCTACAGCTTATCACTTTACCTGCGCTCACCTGGCTAATTGTATATTCCTCGACAATAAGGAGCTATACTGTAAAGTGCACACTAATCTCAAAGGGAACAAAGAGATACATAGAGAAGAAGATTTCCATATCAAAAGATCTGTGTATGTTGAATTAGATCACAAGAAGAGAAAGGATGTTCTCCGAAATGAAGTGAGATTATACATAGGTTCTTTGGAGGTCATTCAAATTGGCGAGATATTACCAGAGTTGTCTGATGATTCGGAAATTATAATTCCATGCGATTATAAATGCTCTCGCTATTATTGGTCCTCCAAAGAACCATGGAAAATTGTCAAATATTCGATTCAGACGAAAATCACCAATCTTGTTCAAGAATACACTTACGAAAATGACACTAATTATACTGTTGACCATTCACTAGAAATCACTCCTCCTCCATCTCCTATCGATTCTCTGAGGAATGACACTTTTGTAAATAATAATTTTTTGGAAAAAGAAATCAAAGCTGTTATCAGTCATTTACTTGACACTGTATGTTCGAAGGAAGAAGATGGCAATCTTTCTGACCAGCAAAACACCGATCTCCTCCCCCCTGAAGTTAAAGATGCTATTTTCGAGGACTTGCCTCAAGATTTTTTAGATCGTATATCAGTTCATGATATTTTTACAAAAATGAGTTTCGACGACATTTTGTTGTCCGATACAAAGGTGGAGACTGGTGAAGGTATTAATTTAGACCCGGCATCTAATAAGTTGAAGAATAGCGCTGATAAAGCAATCGAAAAAGTGAACACAGCTCAAAGCAATCTGTATAAAATGGTTAGGGTTGTGAAGCAAAGAAAACTTGAAAAAATTAAAGAGTGTGAATCATTTTTAGATAGAGAAAACAGGAACAAATGGAAGAGACAAAGTATTTTACAGGTCGATGGAGCCATGGATCTGAGTGAAAGTGATCAGTCAAACGATTCTTGTGACCTCAATGTGAAAGAGGAAAATGGTGTCGATAAACCGGTGAAATGTGCAAGGTGCCACAGGACATACAGAACCAGAATCAGCTATGATCGGCATCTGTCTACTTGTAATGTGGATTACCCATCTTGTAGTGAAAGCGATCTCAGTGAAGAAGAAAAAACGCAAAGTATACCTGATGAAAGCAGTAATAAATTATTAGATGATCCTATTAGCAGCGCGACCCAGACCTGCGACTCCGAAATACAAATGTTCAATATCCCTGTCCAAGTAAAAACTATAACAAACGAACAAAAGGTTCAAACAGCAATGTTACAAAATTCATTTGAGAATACCATGTTGTGTGTTGATGGTACAAATTATAATGGATTGAGAGAAAATTCTGAAGCAATAGTAAACTTGAATTATTCAACATTGAATGGAAATGGAATACATAATGCAACATTTACTACTAATGAACAGACTTTAGTATCTGCATCGATTGAATCTGTGGGAGAATCGGTTGTAGGTCTGCAAACTCCGACAATCATTGTCCAACAAGTACCATCAAATGACAATATACTTCCTACATATTTGCCGCCTACATATCAAGAACCTTCCCAGCAGCCTGGAGGCATTCACTATATTACTGCTATTAACACTCAAGAAAAAACACAGTTTTTGACCGCCAATTCAGTTGGGCAAGGTACGTATCACATCCAATCCCCTATAGCCCAACCCACTACTGTTGTTCAAAATGTTCCTACTGTTTTAGGAACCATCATTCAGGCTAATGGAGTAGAACAGTATATACTCAACAACACCCAACCGAATGTTGATGTTTATAGTCATCAAAATAATATGTACATAGCCAATCATGCGCCTATGATCGTGGGTATGGAAACTGTAGTCAGTAACACAGTGATGTCTTCTAGTCGGTTCATTTCTGGTTCAGCACCAGGGCCAGTTTTGGCCAGTAGTTATTCTGCTACGACTACTCAAGTATTTCAAGCTGCGAAACCGATTATGGACATTCCTCAAAGTTATCTTGTTGTGAATACAAATCCTCCCCAACTGGTCGCTGACAACGGTAATCAATGTATACAAAGTGTGATTCAGAATGGATCGTTAACAGCAAATCCATCTTGGAACAGCTACAAGATCGAGTATCAAGATGCTGTAAAGTTGAATAAAAACATCACCTACCAGAGCATGTCCCACCAGATAGTTAATCAAAAGCAGGATATGAATGGCCTAAAAATGATTAGTGCAAATGACCAGGCGTTGGTTCTCACACCGATTGCTATGAAGCCTCCAAGATCATCGTTGCCGTCTCAGCGATGTGAAAATCCGGTCAGTACGGCGACTATTATGCCAATTTCACAGCCCGTTATCAGTATGAACAGTAATAATTTGAAACCTACCAGTTTAGTAAAAGTTGTAGAACTACCTTCTTCTTCTGCCGTTTACAAAGAAAAGCCCCAACAAGCTGTAGCTCCAGTCGTCATTAAAAAAATGCCTCCTGAATCGGCTCAAAGGTTGACCGATTTAAAAGTTGTCACTACCAATAATTATAAAGGAAATGATACAGCATATAAAGATACATCTCGTAGCACTCAATCGAATGCAAAGATGTTGAGGAAAAGTGAACCTGTGATGGAGAATACAAGCGCAGCATTGAAAAAACAAAATAAGTTAGCGGAACCGCCTCCTCTGAAGGATTCTAATAAAGTTAAAATTCATCCAACCACCAGTAAGATTACTGAAAAAAAAAGTGTTTCCAAATCGAACGGCTGTGATTTAAATAGAAAACGTAAAATCGTACACGAAGAACCGAAAATTTCATTTGAAATTACTTCTGAAGATGGATTTTCATACTGTACCACCAATATTAATGAAGCTTGGAAGAAAGTTTTTGAAACTGTCCAGCATGCGAGAAAAGCACGTAACCTTCCTCCACTTACGCAGAACCCGTTTTCCTCTCCGGATTCCATGTTGAAAAAGTTAATGGGTCTCGGCAGCAATAGTATGAAATATTTATTAGAGCAATTGCCAGGAATCAGTAGTTGCTCAAAATATAAACCAGTATATCACAGGAAAACACTCTCTGCTCTTGAAAAAGAGCTGTCGAGGGGTGGTGGATTAAATCCATCAGGTTGTGCTCGGACTGAGAAGTATCATCATTCCCAGAAGACTTACGACATGTTCAGTTGGCTGGCATCGAGGCATCGAAGGCCTCCCAAACTGCTTGCTTCAGAATCAGATGGAGTAAATGGCAATAGGTAAGAAGTTTTTCATATATTTAATTATATAAATAATTAATTGTATATTTAATTTTTTTTTAATTTTGTGTTGCTTATTTTATTTAAAATAAACATATAATGTTTGTTTCTTCAAAATCTTAAATCTCTTTCACTGATTTCTTTGTAATATCGGCCTAATGTTGCAATAGAATATGCATGTGGTTTTGTATAACTGCTATTATAAAATGTCAGGTAAAACTTTATGCATTTTTTTTTTCAAATATTACCATTTGTTGGATATAAAAGCAATGCTCTTCAAAATGTTTTATGATACTATTTCAGTGTTTCATCAATTATTCAATTCATCATAACCTTTTTTTACTTTCACTTGTCTGTATATGAAATATATAGTAAGGGACAGTGTTGCGATTGTGAAAATTTTCGAATCTGAATTTTCAACGGAAATACATGTTTTGAGGTCTCCTGAGTCCAAATAACCAAGCCGCTCCACAAATGGTCTGTGTGTGTGTATGTATGTGGCAAGTTTAGCTTAAAAACGAAAAGTCATACTAAACTGAAATTGCGTATTTTGATGTTTTTATTGCTTATTTTTGTCAAAATCGGTAAACCGGAAGTGGTACTTTATATCATCGATTAAACACATTTTTACGATTTTCTCAAAAACGGCTCCAATGAATCAGTGTATTATTAAGCTGTTTTTAATATAATGTAGGTTTTATTCTCATTGATGTTCTCTAACAGGCCTTAAATTGCTAATTTTCAATATAAGATTCCTCTAAAGTACATTTTTTTTTTTTTTTTAAATAATTAACCAGTTCTCATTAATCTTCAATATAAAAAATTCTTAAATATAAAATATGAAAGAATTTGATTATTAACTAAAGGAGAAATATGAGATCGTAACGGATAATAGTTGAAATGGAGGAACCAAAGGAATACGAGCACTTCTATACATTGCATGAGCTTAAAATATCATATGGTCTCCGACAATGTTATGTACATATACATATACAGTTTTCATAAATGCTATGGTGATATTATTTAATATTTAATTGTATAGATTACACCGATATAAAAATTGAAATTTGTATAAGAAGGATAATTTAACAAATACAAATTCCCACGATGAAATGTAAAAAAATATAGCGTCTATAATTTTTACTTTCACTTTGCCTTTATCTCAAAATACTTATTTCTGCTAAGAAGAGGGTGGTAAGTAAAATTCGTGTGATGCGCACCAGATTCTTTCATCCTCTTTTCAGAAAAGCATGGTATATACATATACATAAATTAAATAGGTTTTTCTGTTTAGCGCTGTTTAGGCGCTCTAGTCAATAGCACCACAAATTTTTTCGTTCGGATTTCCGAAACGAAAGGCTGAATGGTAATGAAATGTATATAAAAACATTCCAGAATTCGATAGAAACGTGTCGAAATTTCAGGAAATTAGCGGTTTTGAACAAACTAACATTTACATTTTTATTTATATAGATTAGATAAATTGTTTTTTAAATGGAGATTTAAATGACAGTATATACTCGGATCTAATTTTCCTACTTAATATTATAAATTATTGTTTCAGTCGCCGTGCAACAAGTATGAACTTACCCATGGCAATGAGATTCCGTCACCTCAAAGAGACATCAAAGGTATCTGTTGGTGTGTTCAGATCTGATATCCATGGAAGAGGCCTCTTTTGTCTTAGAGATATCGATGCTGGAGAAATGGTGATTGAATATGCTGGAGAGGTAACCAAAATATTTTAATTTTTTTTACCTATTTAATATGTATTTAAGCCTTCATTGAGTTTATTTTATCTAATTTATTTTATGGATAATTTTTAGGTGATAAGATCTGCCTTGACCGACAAGAGGGAGAGGTATTATACAGAGAAAGGTATTGGGTGCTATATGTTCCGTATAGACGATAAATCAGTTGTAGATGCGACCATGAAAGGAAACGCTGCTCGTTTTATTAATCATTCATGTGAGGTACGTCATGGACTTTTTTTTTTTCTTTTATATTTTACAAGTTATAAATTTGAAAGGTGAATTTAGTAAAGATATGCTTGACAGAAACATTCAATAAAGTAAGAATCTGTAATTATTTAGCCAAAAATTTTGAGAATTGTTTGGGTTTGAAACAGGACGATTCCTTTCATCTGTCCTGTTTAATTTAGGACCAGAACATGCCATAGGGAGGTAATGCGTACCGCAAAAAGTTTTGAATATGGTTGGTAAAATATAAGTAACCATGCTTGGTTATGCGTTAATGAAAGCCAGTAAAGAAATGGAGTTCAAAATAAATACAGATAAGATAAAATCCATGTATAGCATAATAACTATATGGTTAGCTGCAAAAACAGTAACAATTTTGGTGATATGAAAGGGGTAATGTTTGAACAAGTAGAGAATCTATGGTCTTTGTTAATTAGAAAAATCGAAATTGAAAAGGAGATTAAGGTCAAGTTGAAGGTGGGAAATGCATGTTATTTTTCTGTGATTAACTACTTATTTTACTCTTCCACACGTGGCGACCAACCTGGATAAATGGGAAAAGTCAGGGTCACAATGAAATATAAATAAATATAGCGTCTATAATTTTTACTTTCACTTTGCCTTTATCTGAAAATACTTATTTTTGTTGAGAAGAGGGTGGTAAGTGAAAGTTGTGTGATGTTTATTGGAAATAAATAAACAGTAGATATCGTTTACCTGGGGGGGGAGGGTGGCCGAATGGGCTAACGCTTGTGCACAGTACTGTGATTTGCCCAGCAACCAGGTAACCGAAGTTAATCGGAGATTAAAAAGTACGAGTTCGTGTCCCGGTGCCGGTGGGGGTTTTAAACTCCCGGCCCGGGAAACCCCTGTACAGCTTAAAACGCAAGGTAGGGAAGAACAAAAAAAATAAAAAAGATAATGCTTACTTTGAAATGGTTAATTGTTGTTCAGGTCATTTTTAAGGAGAAAAATAATACTAACTTTCCTCAAAAGTTTAGGAAAAAAGTTATGAGAAAACAAACTTTATTTGCGAATAACTCTATATAATAAAGTATACACTTTTTTGTTGATTACACTAACGGTTATTTAATATTACTAAATTCACTATAGAACGGGAACAAAAATGATCAAAATCGGACTATTATTAGCAAAGATACAGGTTATTGAAATCTGTAAACACGTTGGTTCAAAAAATTAATGAAGTTTTAAATTAATTTTCATTTCTTTTGTCAATTATAATTACGTAGAAAATACTAATTGATTTCTCCATCTTATGATACGTTATTTTATTTTATTATTAATTTGTCACTCGATCACTGATCAATAATATACTGTGTGAATTATCTGCACGGGCCAACTAATTATATTTATTACTTGAAACTAAGATAATTTTATTTAATAAAATTTACTGTCATTAACTGTATATTTTATGTTTGAGTTTTAATTTCTGTTGTAAATGTTGAACGATATATTGAAGAAAGCTTGGAACATTCCTGAAATTGTTAATATGGTAATATTTCTTATGTTACAGCCTAATTGCTATTCAAGAGTGATAGATATTCTCGGCAAAAAACACATATTAATATTTGCCCTACGGAGGATACTTCAAGGTGAAGAATTGACATATGATTATAAATTTCCTTTAGAAGAGGAGAAAATAAATTGTCATTGTTTATCTCGTAAATGTCGAAAATATTTAAATTAAGTTGATGCTATAAGTATTTTAATATTACCAACTTAACAATGTGTTAATGAGTTAATGGTGAAAGCTTGACCATAAGAAAGGTCTTTTTTTTTTTTTTAAATATATTTCGAGGTTAACTCAATATCTGCATGGTGACACAACATTCATTCAATGCAGATGTATATAAATTACTCCCATTTTTTAAATATAAAGGATTAAGTTAATCCATTAAAAATATCAAATGAAATTTAGATTTTGTAATATATTTAAAACAATTGTGTATATTTTTATAAGCTTTGTTATGTTAACATATATAACAGGTATTTTATAAAAAGAAAAAGAAAAAAAAAGATATCCTAAACCAAAGATCCAATAATGAATTTTATGAATAATTTAATTATTGCCTTAGTTACCAATAAATTGCGTAATGTTGAAATGAATTAGAAAATTAAGTTGTAAATACAATATTTATATTATATTTCTATTGTGCCTTATATATATATTCAGAATAATACAAGGCCTTACTGTAAATATATTTAAATATGTATATAATCATTTTGGCAATAAGCCTGTTAAAAAACAAAAAATATTAAATTTGTACATTTCAAATTTTATTTTAAAATGATCTTAATAATAAATTATATGACTTATTAAAGAATACTTTTAGATCTCTTGTATAAAAACTGAAATCAATTTGTATATATTAAAGTTTTTCCTCTGTGTATATCTTTAAATGTATGTATATCCTTATAAGGAAAAGAGATGAATATTATTTCTCATTTTAGTCATTAAATTATTTATTTTTATTTTTATTTTTAAATAAATAACTTATTATGACTATGAAGAACCAAGTTGTGTATGTGAGCTGCTTTTAATTTTTTTATAGTATTTTTTAAAAATTAATAATTGAATTGTTAATAATACACGTATAGTATTTTTTAAAACCTTCCACTCTCTTGCCTATTTGTTTATTATTTTATTTTTTACTTTTACTTAAGTAATATTGCTTGTTGTTTGCTTTGTTATATTTGTTCTTTGTATATAGCTATTATATATATATATATATATTTAATAAGTAATGTTGCTATATTGTGAATGGTTTAAAACTATATTTTTTAAAAGGATATAAATGTCGATTAAAAAAAAAAAAATAATAATAATGAATAAATAAAAATTCTGTATTGCTATGATAATATAAAAGAAACTGTGATAAGGTGTTTTAAAGTAAGGATGGTATAATCTGTGATCAGAATGTTTTTTCAGTCTCTTTATATTTTCATAGGTGATTTTAGGATAATGTTGATTCAGTCACCAGATCTTTTGTCAAATGAATAATTGTTTTTAATGTCTTAAATATCATAGGATTAAAAATGTTTTATCCATTTTCTTTTAAGTACAATATGGCTTACAAAAAATCATTCTCGTACATCTGCTGTTCATAATCAGTTAAATAAAATAATCTGCACAGAAATCTTTTAATCACCATGTCCTTCTGGATGTTGGATTTATAACAAGTATTAAGAGTACATTAACTATTTATTAATTAATTAGGGGATAAAAACTGCATATAATGCGTCATCTCGATCAAATAATTTGCTCAATTGTTGAATAATAAACAATACTTTTTTATAAAGTATTGAACCAAAAACTACATTGGTTGTAGTGGTAAGTTTTTTTTATTGTTTCTAAAGAATGAAATGGTGACATTAAAATAAATCTACATCGATCACAAGAAGAAATATCTCAATGAATGAATGAATGAAAAAATAATTTTATTCTGGGACTCAAGTCTCCTAAAAATAATAATAACATGGTACAAAACATTGGTCCATTAGTCTGGTTTGACAGAATACAAAGAGGTCATTTGAATGTTAATTTCAATTGTTATCGCAATCAAACCTGAATAACAATAGTAAACACTTTAACACAAGTACATTTTACATGGTTTACATCTATACAAAGAAAAATTAAACAAATAAATGAAACTTGTCAATTAATTGTTGGTGAGAAGTTGTAATTACAGAAAATGATAAGTATTAAATAGATACAGAAGTTTGAAAATGAAGTAGGTGGTGGAATAAGAGTTGTTTGAAGGAATTTAAGGTTGAGGATTGTCGTATGGGGATGGGTAAAGAATTCCAGATGGAGGTAGCACGAATAACGAAGGATGTAGTTTTATGAGAAGGGATATATAAATCAATAGGTTGAGATCTGGTATTAATAGAGTGGATAGAGGAACTTAGAGTGAGCAGTTCCATGATATAGGGAGGAGTTTTGGTTCTTAGGGCTTGGAAGAGGAAAACACCAAGAAGGAATTGTTATCAGGAAGTAGGATAAAGCCACTTCAACTCTGTGTACCAGTCAATATGAATTTTAAAAAATATAACGAATGTTACTGCCCCTAAAGTGAGAATAGGAAGTTCTTCATGTTTTCATATGACATAATCTTTATCTATTAATGATACCTTTTTTAGTTGCCTCAAATACTTTGTAGAGTAGGAAAATTGGTTTCTCCCCAGAATTTGGAGAAAAACCTGACAAATGTTACCGGCTTTTCTTATAACACTGTTCATTCAATATGACTGAAAATGGTTTAAAAGCATCTGTCTGTGGTGCTTTCATTTAGCTATGAGTTCATGTGTAATATTGAGACAAAAGAGCTGGCTGGAAACTATAAATTTTTTTTTCCGAAACATGCCATGTCACAAAAATGATGCATAAGGAATGTTAGCACAATTTTACTTAATATTATTCAGTTAACGCAAAGGATGGTAATTGCAAAATAAGTAGTTTTGAGGCATTTGTTTAGGGTTAAGGTTTCATTTCTATCCAACATTTGGTTAAATCAGTAACAATGATTTTATATGAAAACGTAACAAATGCTACTATTATGCCCACATATATTATTACAGTAAGGCTCGAAATCGGTTTTGTACCAAATATAATTATACCAAATATTCTTGATACATGTATATACATGCTCCTATCAAAACCTCAACCTTCCGTCGCCAACCTGCTCCTTGGATGTGTCAAGAAATCGGCGACATGCAAAAGAGACGTGAGGCAGCCCGTAGACGCTTCAGACGAACCCGACTAGTAGATGACTATCAAGTCTATAGGGTACTCTGTAACTTGACACAAACAACGATCAGGAAAGCGAAATCAAACTTCTTTCACGAAACCTATTCTTCTGCTCCTGATTCTAAATCAATATGGCTAACCCTTCGTAAACTCTCTCTTTGTAAATCCTCTTCCTCACCGTTCTACCCGGTATCACCCGATGAACTAAATTCCTACTTTATATCTTCCACCACCAGCAACAGTTCACCCACCTCTCACCAGTTTCCCTTATCACCCTCATTTAACAGTGATAATTTCTATTTCTCCAGCATCTCACCGACCGACCTTATTTCCTCTATAATGAAATCACACACACACTCCATCGGACTTGATGGGATACCAGTCAAACTATTAAAATTATGCCTTCCCGAAATCGTTCCAGTTCTCCTTTTCATCTATAATTTTTCCCTCCAGAACTCAGTTTTTCCAACTGCTTGGAAAAAAGCATTAGTCAGACCTATCAACAAAATTCCCAATCCTACCTCTCCTAAAGACTACCGCCCAATCTCCATTCTTTCTAACCTTTCTAAACCTCTGGAAAGAATAGCTCAATCCCAAATCTCTAAATTCCTTGAAAACTCAAAACTACTCGATCCTCTCCAATCTGGTTTCCGACCTGGCTTCTCCACACAATCCGCCCTACTAAAAATTACCAATGACTTACATACCGCAATGGACGAAAAAATGTTAACTGTATTAATACTTCTCGACTTTTCCAAAGCTTTTGACTCCTTAGACCATTCTATACTCTATACTAAATTAAAATCTCTATCCTTCTCCAACAGCTCTATCCTCTGGTTACAGTCTTTCCTATCCGACAGAACTCAAGCAGTCAGCATTCCAAACCAACCCCTATCTTCCTTTCTTACACTGTCCTCTGGAGTGGCCCAGGGTTCGAGCATTTCCCCTCTCCTTTTCAACTCCTACATAAATGATCTTTCCAAATCCATCTACCACTGTTCACATCATTTATACGCTGATGACACCCAAATATATTTTTCCTTTCATCCTTCTGAGCTACTAGTCGCGTTCGCCAATATTCAGGCTGACCTAGATAGGATCAGTGCCTGGGCAAGTCTGAATAATTTAAATCTAAATGCGATGAAAACTCAGGCCATTATTATAGGTTCCAGTCCTATTCTTAAATCCATCTCCTTCCTTCCTCCTTTAGTCATCAACGATCATCCTGTCACATTCAGTTCATCCGTTAAAAACCTAGGAATCACCATAGACGAAAACCTCTCCTGGAAACCCCATATTGCCCTCATCTCCCGTAAGTCAATAGGTACCCTTAAGCTATTTCATCGCTCCCGCCACCTACTCCCACAACCCATCCGCAAGCTCCTTGTATCCTCTCTCATTTTCCCCCACTTTGACTACGGCTGTGTGGTGTACGGAGGCATCCCGATGGTACTCGAGGATAGATTGAAGCGACTCATGAATACGTGCTTAAGATTTGTCTTCGGTACATCAAAGCGATCTCATGTGTCCCACCTTTACGACGAGTTAAAGTGGCTCTTCCCTTCTTTCCGCAGACAATATTTCCTCGGATCTTTCCTATTCCAAACAATCAACACTAGACACCCTTCTTACATCTACAGTCTCCTACAGTTTAAACCCGTGGTCCACTCCCAGAAAACAAGATCCCGTGTTTCCGACCTTTATATCCCTTCCCATAGAACTAAGACGTTTGAATATTCCTTTATTTCCCGATCCACAGCCTTCTGGAATTCCTTGCCATCTGAAATCCGTCATGCCTCTTCCTTGTCCTCATTTAAATATCATCTTTACCAATTCCTTCTCACATCCCAAAATGACGTTATACAATAAAATAAATATTGTGAAACAGATTTTGACTGAGGTGAATGATTGATAAAATTTATTGTCTTAATTTTAAAAATCAACCCATGCTTATTTTATTTTATTTTTATTTTCATTTAAATAATGTTGTTTTTTTTTATTTCGTTTTTTCTCAAAATTTTATTTTATTTTTACTTGTTTTAATTTAATTTCACTGAAGATACTGTATATATTCTTTAATATTGATTAATGTAATTTTTGGCCAGATGTAGTTTTAATTTTTTTGTTCATATCTGTTATTCATAAGGGACCTTGTCCCAGAATAAAGTTTACATCGTCCGTTTTCTTGAATTTTCTGTCTACTTGATAGAGTTTTAGATATTAATGTGAAGTCCCATCTCTTTTAAAAATTTGGTTCCTTTGTTCAGGTAACAGTCCTCAATTAGAGCCTTGGCGAGGGATCTAGGTATGCCTAAGTTGGCCATTTTCCTCCTATATTTAGGAGTCTTCAAATATGTGCTTCACTGTGAAGGTTGTTTGACAGTCCTGACAGTGTGGAGGTGTCTGTTTTGTCATTAGACAGCTGTGAGTGAGACAGCTATGTTCAATACATTAGGGAGTAACTATCACTTCATCTCTTCTGGACTGTCTGGGGCATATCCAATTCTTCACTGTTGGTTTGACCAGTCTAAGTTTATTTGTCATTTGCTGATAATGTTAATATTTTAATGCTTTATTTGGAAATTTTTCAGAAAAATATACAAGAAAAATTATTTATAAAAATTTAATTAAATTCGGATTAAACATTCGCGCTGTGCCCACCTCTCTAACTTAATGTCTGAAGATTGATAAAATTAAATACTACATTAATTTGAATTGTTAAAAGTAATTTGATGAATTGATATAGGACCATTCAGGTCACATTAACACAATCCCTGAAAATCCGCACATATATTATTACAGTAAGGCTCGAAATCGGTTTTGTACCAAATATAAGCTCCTGTCATGGTCAAATACCATGAATGGGGTACCGTTGGATTCAGAGTTTCACGGTGGGTTAGCGAATCGTATTCTCCGCTTTTGTTTTTCTTTCTAAAATAAATAAAGTCGATACAAACATTTTGCTAGGCTTCAATACTGGAAAGGTGGTAGGTCTGTAGATCGATACAGGACAAATTGGGTCTTTAAGACTTTGATGCTTACAGCAAGACCCGGATAGTTTCTGCGGAACTATCGAATCCTGCGTTTTTAAGCCCAAAAACGTACTATTTTCAAGATAACGCAAGGCGTAGGGTTCGCATCCACACAACCTTACGTTAATTGTTGTACTGTCATTGGATACATGTCTTCTTTCAGCGGCTTGAGGTCCCTATGATCGAGAGAGGAGTTTATATTTATTATATATATATATTTATATTTATCGATGGTATTTTTGATCGGCAAGCCGTATCATCGTTAATTCTTCGCCAAATATCAAGATTGAGCCACCAATTCCGAAGGCTTCCTTCTTCAGGCGGGCAAAATAGCCCAATCACCCCGAAAATTCAGGCA